TTTGCTTTAAGCTTTAACTTCTCCTCATCCTCTGCTTCAACTTCCATTCATTTTCCTCTCTTCTGCTTCTGAGCTCAGATCTCTCCAACAAACTCCAGACTCGCTCCTCCAAGTTCGAGTTCACTCGCGTAATCGCTTCAAGTGGAGGTTGGTACTGTACTGTACACCTCATTTTCTAATCTGTTTTCCTCAGATCCCGCTGGTTTTTCCGTTTCAATTTCGTGTATTTTTGTCGACATGCTTTGTGTATCTTGCTTGCTTGACGTGTTTGGCGAGTTTTGCTGAGGAATGGGGTATGGTTGGAGTCTGATGATACGTTTATTGTTAGAGATTGGTGAAGTTTGAGCGGATGATTACGTTTGTGAAAGGGTGGTTTTGCAGCTTTAACTATTTCAATTTGTTAAGTTCATGCTAGATTACGGTTTTTTCAGCACTCTCGAGCACCATTGGAGTTGTTTTGTTAGTCTGATCTGATTGTTTTTGCTTACTTGCATTAGAGTGTTCTGATTTGCCCTTTCTGGATTAGTAGATCAATGGAGTCTGTTACTGTATCTACTTTTCATTATTCTTATGAAATTCCGCTTCTTGGTTTACTTCAACTACTAACCTCTGATGACTGAGGTTTTTCTGCAATGGCATTTTTAGAAATTGATCGTTGGTTAAGTGGATAGAGCCATGACTACGGAGCTTTTCGAAATTCAGCCAGGCGAACTTAAATTCACTTGTAAGCTGAAGAGTTTTTTTTCTTATTGAGTTTTGTCTTCCTCTTTACGTCTTGTTTAAATGCATGGTGGACATCCAATAATATGTTGTCAGGCAAGACGTCACTGAGACCGCTGCAGAATTTGACTCGTGCATCTACTTTTACTGCTTTAAATTGTTTTAGATGAAGGTGGGGCTTAAATCACGTTGTAAAATATTGTTGGCGTAGATTAGACTAAGTTGTAGCTTATACCTGCTAACCTACAAGTTATAATAAGAAGAAAATAGATCAAATCTTTTGCATTATTTAGCTAATTCAGTTTATTTCTTGAGCCTGTGAAGTTAAAATGTTCAATAAGATTTACTAGCTGGATTACATAACCAAATTTTCTAGATTTAAAAGGATTTCAAGTCCATCTTTGATTGTATATGCATGTATGTTGTGCAAATAAAAAGGGATAAAAAGAATGTTCTGGTCTATGCACTCATTTCCTGCAGTGTTATTTTAACAAGTTTTGCACCCTCTCTCTCCAGTCGAGTTGAAGAAGCAAAGTTCATGCTTGATACATCTTATCAATAAGTCTGAGCAATTTATTGCTTTCAAGGTGCAGTATTCCAAATGAATCCCACAATATTTTTTTTTCCTACCAACCTACCTTTTCAGTGTTATATTTATTATAATTTAAATTTGTTCTATTATTAAATTTCTATTTTCTCAAATAGAATCCAAAATTGAAAAGAATCTTAAGGGCTTGTTTTGCTGCATAGCTGTATTTAATATACAAAATTGGTTCGCAGGTAAAAACTACATCTCCTAAGAAGTACTGTGTGCGACCCAATACTGGCATCATTAAGCCCAAAGATACATGTGACTTCACAGGTATCTCTTCCTGTCATTCTTTTAAAAAGTTGGTGGTGTTAAGTGTTAGCATGGAGTTAGACATAGTTATCTACTACTTTGTAGACGCCAAACTGCCAACCGGTCTAAACTGTTTCAAAGACTTAATAAGATGGCAATTAGATGCAAACTTCAAAAACCTCTGTTTTTAAAGGTTTTTTTTTAATATTTATGCTCTGATACTGACTCGGATGGATTACTTGATCTTCACTTTTGGATCCATGCAGTCACCATGCTTGCTCAGCGTACAGCCCCACCTGATGTGCAATGCAAGGACAAATTCCTGGTACAAGGCACAGTCATCCCCCCCGGAACATCTGAAGAGGATATCACATCTGACGTGGTGAGAATTTGTAGTTGTTGCTTGTTTTACATGCCTTCTTCTAAGATTTTGTTCTGCAAGGCAGTTTGCGAAAGATAGCAGCAAGCACATTGAAGAGAAGAAGCTGAAGGTTTCTCTAGTAAGCGCAACACCGCCTCCGGTTTTGTTACCAATTAATGGAGAGTTGAAACAAGATTCAAGTCATGAAATCTCCATGCCAAAAGATAGAATGCAGAATGGAGTTGAAAACATACCTCCTCATAAGGTAAGAGTAACTATGCACCTTTCATGTGTTTATGTTGTAGTATTGCTAAAAGTCTCTTCTTTATTTCTCTCTCCCGTTAGTCTCCACCTACTTAAGTCTGATTGGTGGGTTGTTTCAAGTTTCAAATTTGAGGATATTTTAATATGTATGTATATAATATGGGTTTTCAATTAAGCTATAGGTATGTCTACTGTTATTATGCATTCTTTTTCTTCTGGTGGAAGACATGATTGTATTGTGGTTGAACTTTGCTTCGCTTTTGGAATGTATCTCTTGATTGGAATTCTAGGTTGCAGAAGATGCCAATGGACTTGATACCTGTGAACACATAGATGAACTTAGACCAGTTGATACCGCTGTACAGTTATCTCCACCTTATAAGGTATGGCAATGAAAGCACCTCTGTCTTGTCATGTATGCTTATATTTATGTTCTTGTCAGGGTCTCTCTAGTTTTCAATTTTAAAGGGATTTCCCATCGAAGTATATGTCCATTTATTGTTATTGTATGTTTAAAATCTTCGTGCTTGTGGTCTTAATATTGCATGAAAAGCTGCCCCAAGGGGTGGTCATGTTGGCCAGGGCTTGGTCGGTCATATTAGTTTAGAGGTCTCAATTTCGAATCTTCAGGTGAGCTTAATACCAAAAATCCTTAATGTCTCTCAGCTCGGACCTTAGGGCGGGCTAAGACCCTTGGTATAGGAGAGCAAAGCTCCGACTCCCGGTTATCAAAAAATAATATTGCATGAAAAGCTACATGGGTTTTAATTCCTGCAGTTATGAGACACGTGGATTTCTTCTGAATGGTTTATCGGTATTCTTTTTTCACAATATGATTGAATATGTTCCTCGTGTGTTTGAACTATGATGTACCAGGTTGCTGAGGGAGTTGACAAAGTTGATGCTTGTAGAGATTCAGATGAGAATAGAGCAGCCGAGGATGTTGCAATGAAACAAAATGAGGGTGTGGTGGCCGAACCAATTGACAATATTGAAACAACACCATACGGGGAAACTGAGGAATTGAAACCAGTGAAGGATGTGCCAGAGTTGAACTTAACTAAGGACTTTGAAGAACTGAAATCAAAGCTAACTATCATGGATGCAGAACTACTAGAGGTAGGCCTTTTCTCTTGAAGTTAGATTATCAAGTAGTACTTATGAATCTCTTTACTACAAACAAGGAAAATTAACTGTGGAAATTGGCAAGTTACGTTTAGTTGATTGGATAAGTTTATGGCTTGTGAGTGAAATTTCTGGAGACATCCCCTGGTCTTTAAATGTATAGGTGTTGCATTGTTTGTTTTCTCATGTCGCTAACTATGTCTCTACTGCGACGAGTTCTCAGTTCACGGAGGCAGAAAATAATGATAGTATTTAAGGAATCCGGATTCAACCCAACTACTCAGGATTTTGAGGTTCCTGGATCTCTCACTAAGCAATTTAACTTCTCAGTGATTACTCACCTCCTCCTTTCCCTTCTTGCCTCTTTTAACAAAGTTCCCTCTCCTGCTCAACCTCATTCTCATGCATGGTCTCATCAAAAAAAAAAAAAAAAGCTTTAGGTCCTCTTATTAGCTTTGCATATATTTTAAGAGCAAGGATTTCTAACGCCCCAGTATAGCTTTCATGTTTCTAAGTTCTAACTAGATATATCTGATTAGCTACTAATAAGAATTTATGAAACATATGCAGGCTGAAGCTACCATAATGAGGTTGAAACAGGAGAGGATGGTAACCACTCAAGAAAGGGGAATGCTTAAGCGTGACTTGGTAAGTCTTTTTTTGTTTTTTTTTTTTCGTATTTCGGTCTTTTACGCTTTTAAGCCTCAGTCAACTCACATCAAACCCCATATTGTTTTGGTTCCTTAAATATGTTAATCTAAATATGATGCCACTCCTGTTCAATAACTAATTCGTTTTTATTTTCTGTTTTTAAAAATTAAGATAGAAATATTACTTTCAAGTTTCACTTATATATTCCTTTGTTTGTTATATATTTTTATCAACCTTTCTAAAAACTTAGGCCAAGTTTTGAAAACAAAAGGAGTAGTTTTAAAACTTATTTTTGTTTTTGAAATTTAGCAAAAATTCTTATATATTCCTTTGTTTGTTATATATTTTTATCAACCTTTCTAAAAACTTAGGCCAAGTTTTGAAAACAAAAGGAGTAGTTTTAAAACTTATTTTTGTTTTTGAAATTTAGCAAAAATTCAAATATGCTTTAGTGAAAAACTTACTAATGAAAATGTAAAAAAAACAAACACAGAAAATTAAAAAGGCACCTTAGTAACTCAGAAATAAGATTTTGGTGGTAGAGACTTTGGAGACTAAAGTTAAGGTTTTAAAAAGTTGGAACTGAATTAGAAAATTGATTAAAATTCAAGAGCCAAGCATGAATGTTCCAAAAGTTTGTGAATGAAAAAAATGAAATGAAATAAAATGAAGAAAAATCTAGAGACCCAAATCATTGGTAAGGAAAAAAAAGTAAAGATGATTCGAGTCATCAGTCTCAGGCCTTCTTGGAACGGGCGTAAGATTAGTTGCTTTCTCATGCTCAATATATTGAGCTGCTTCTTCGATATTTTTTAACTGCCATCACCTTTGTTTGGAATGGGCGAAACTATAAACTAGAGGCTCTATTACGCATTAATTCAAGATATCTTTTATAATTATAGTATAGTTGATATGAAAATTCTAGTGAATTGGAATTAGGAACCTTTGAGTATATGAACCTCTAATTAATACTCACAAAAATTCATTCTCCGACCAACATGAAAGGAAAAGCTCAAAGGCTAAACTTCATTCATCAAAACTGATGCGTCAAACAACCTAATGACAAGACTTTTTAGATAGGCTCCCGACTAAATCCTAGATGCCACCTCATCCACCATAACAAAAAGACTAAAATACCCCTACTTATTATGTTCCAAACCTCTAAAATAAAAGTGTATCATCATTTGAAGTCCTGGACGGTTCATGTCAATAGCGGTCCGATCCCCGGTTTTATATCCTGGGGAGTCTAGGGACATGATACTGATTTCTTGTTTCAGGAGACACTCAGAAAAACTGGCCAAAGAAGTATCCAAGTAGGCTTCCCCTTGATGTATGTTGTGATGGTTGCTTTCATCAGTCTTGTTGTTGGATACTTTATCCATCCCTAGCAGAAGCAGAACAAAGCAGTGGGGCTCCATCAGGTACTGTTTAATATCTGTTCTTTTTAGACTTTGGACTTGGCTGCTGTCTTTGATCATTTAGGGTAGAATTTTTATTGTTGTATATGACTTGGTGTGTGCTTCTCTATAATCACGTGTAAAGCATTTTTTTAGAATCTACGTAGGAATAACGATAGGGAGGAGTCTATAAGAGCTATGGATACGAATGTCTAACCAGTTGATCTGCTCGGGTCGACATGTACAAAGATATTGATTCTTTCTTATTTCTTCCTTTTGGGTGTTTGGGTATTCTATTCCTATCTCGAATGTCCAATGTAGGCCGAACCAAAAAATAGAAAAACTTGGTAAGAAAAAAGTCTATCTATTAAATTATGTAGGATACTTGATAATCATAATTCATAATCATAATATTTATATATGGCCATCTAATTTTTTATTTAGGATTTTTTTTTAAATCGTTATTATGATAATACAGAAAAAGAATGGCATTGAATGATTAAGATCTCGACTGTGCTAGAATTATTGTTGGATGCGTTAAGCGTATAGATGGTATACCTTCTAAGCCGGTGGTCTTTTTTGTCAAGAGAACAATTCAAGATTATGTGATTATTCTTTTCTTTTTCTGATTCAAACCAACAAAATTTATGACTTTTTTTTTTGTTTTATTTTAGAAAACAGAACTGACTCGGTTTGTTCCGCTTTGTTGAAATTTTTGGATCTTGGCTTGCACCTGCATTCTATTCAATTTCACATTATAATTTTTATTTTAAAAATAAAATTTTAAAGGTATTAAATCTCAATATTTTTTGTCATTGAGATATCTAATAATGAAAAAGAGTTGCTTACAAATCTTTCTAATTTACTCACCACTTATAATGGTTATAATTATGATTCTAAACCTTAAACCACTTATAAATGATAACATTAGCATAGCTTAACAATTAATATATTTGGCTCATTTCCTAGAGATCGGAGGTTCGATCCTACTTTTTTGTTCGGTCTCTGTATTTTTAACTTCAGTTCTTGTATTTTTAAAAAGTGACTATTTTGATCACTTAATTTTATTTTTCTATCGCAATTTGAACATGATACCACATCTAATATATTTCTTGAAATGTATCTATTAACTTTATATTAAATGGTCTCTATGATGTATAGAATTTGTGTTAAAATGGTGCAAATAGGACCAAAATGAACATTTTAAAAATATAAGAATTGAAATTAACCTTTTGAAAGTAGAGATCAAAATGAACTGAAGCTTAAACCAAAATAATATTTTAACCAAAAAAATGAGTAAGTTGCAAAAATAGCACTATGAGATTGTGGATTTTTATATATAACATTAGTTTTAAATTTTACAAAATGACATAAATTGTAAACTTATACAATTATATGAGATAAACCCAAATTTATTTTTGTGACATTTTTTAAAAACCAAAAAATAGTGATATAGTAGATTGGGGCACATGGTTTTCAAAATTGCGGTTCCCGCGTTCCTTTTTGAGCCAGACATAGTTACCAGAGCACTGAAAGAAACGGCGGCGTTTTATTGAGAAAAGAAAGAACGATCAAAAAGGCGTGCGCACGACTTCGCCTGGGAGGCAGTCACGTGCTACCTATTTTCTCTCACGGGCTCCAACTTTTCTTTTTGTTCTTTTTTTTTTCTTGTCAAAATATATCAAGTCAATCGTATCTTTAGTTGTCCATTTTTGGAAAATTAAAGTTCATCATCGATTACTTTTTAGTATTAAATCTGTTTGATCAAGAAGAAAAAATCAAAGTCTCTTGGCATAACTCAAATGGACGATATTGGCAAATGTAGGGACATGCAAAATGGAGTTAGCACTCCAACATTCTAGTTAGTACTTATTCGATTTATATTCGAGAGAGAATATAGTTTTATGTACTTTGCATGAGAGGCGGGGATCTCTATGGCTTTCGACAGCACTCCAAGATCTCCAACTGCCCAAGTTGCGGCACCTTTTCAAAGATTGTGTCTAGTGCTTTGCATCTGCAAGTGCTCTTCAAAATTGGCTCGTCCTTTGCGAAGGTTGGGCGAGAGGTGAAATATAGTTCGACTCTGCTTGACTTGTTGAGCTGCCTGGAGTCGTTGGAATAATGAGATTCATCCGGTTCTTCTCTTCATCATGGTGAGTAATGACCTCCAATGTTGACACGTGGTATGTGATAATCCGTCTCCAATAAAATTACAAATTTAGTCCACATATTTTAGACGTAGTTTTAATTTAATCTCATGGTTTGAATTGCAGTTTCAATATTGTCTTTATAGTTTGGTCAATGCTCACAAATCATCGCTATTATTGCATCACAGAGTTGATATTTTCTAATTGGATATTTGACTTTATTAAGCTTTCGAGTATATTAAAATAAAGAAATAAATAAGAGTTGTTTTGGTAGTAAAAAGGCAGTTTAAAACTTATTTCTTTTAAGTTTTAACCAGAGAACATAAGATAAGTGTAGACGATAGAAATTAAATTGAAATTTTTAATACAATTCTAAAATTAAATTGAAATTTTTAATACTATAGAGATAGAATTGAAACTATGCATGCTAACAAACTTTCGTAATTTAAATTCTTTTGTTCTTAATCTAATAATCTAGTATTTGAATTTTTGTTCATAAGTTTTAGTCATATTTTTAAAATGGTTTGAAAGATATATGTTTTTTATTTTTATTTTTATAATTTTAAAGGAATTTTTTATTTTTGAGTATAACATGTTCACACGGATAGATTCAACTTTTTATTCTGTAATTTAACTAAGATCTACAACTATTTAAAAGATTTTAAAAAGTTCTTAAAACAGTGTTTCGATAACAATTTAATAAAGTTCGTAGAAATTGGTTAATTCAAATTCGAATTAGTTTTATGTTCATGTTTGTTTTGTTTAAAATTTTAAATTTTTGTATCTGGGTAAGAATGCATTAAAAAACTATGTGTTTTTAAAATTATTTTGTAATGTTTCGTAAATATTTTTGTAGAATTATATTACAAACAAAAAATAAGGGGAAAAAGTGAACAAGTAAATTATTTATTAAAATAGTTAATAAAAAGACCAAATAGTTATCAAATAGCCCCAAACCTTATACAATTCCCCATCTAATTCAACCTCTTCAATGAATAATAATTAATAAATTAATAATAGTAGTAGTAGCTCAACGTCTCCAATGAAAAATAATAGTAGTAATAATAATAATAATAATTCAACCTCCTCCACCAAATTATTATTATTATTCTGCAAATGAAAATATTTAAATTGTTTTCGTTTATGCATGATGGAGACCCAAAATTTACCACGTGCGAACATTCATTTGCATCCCACCACACACCATTCATTAATGGCTGCCCAAAAAGCTCACATCCTATCAAATTTAGCTATTGCTTTGGCCCTTTCACTTTCAAATTTAAAAAGCAAGAGGGAAATAAATAAAGGAAACGGGATGTTTTCGCGCACTCTCTCTCTCTCTTTTTCTTCTGCGAATCTCTAAATGGTTTGAGACGTTAGTAATTTCAAGTTAAATATGTATTTTTAATGCTCTGTACCTTCATATTTATAATGATGTATTATAACAAAAAATGTTTTATTTTTATAGGAAAAAAGTGCAGTGGCAACAGGTTTATGTGTTAATATCCAATATCCATGTTCGAGCCCTTCTATATCTAAAAAGTAAAAAAAAAAAAAGATTAAGATATAATCCTCGATCTTCGAGACGAGTTTGCTTCTCAAATCTTAGTCTTTGAATTTTCAGACGATTGTTTGATATCCAGTATTGACTCCTGGGATTTGATCATTCAATCTTAGTTTTTGAGTTTTCAGACGGTTATTTTATATCCAATATTGACTCTTGAGATTTGATCCTTCGATCTATGCTCTTTGTTTTGTTTTAATTCACCTGTAACAATGGTTAAACTTGACACAAACTTCAAAGTTCAAGGTTAACACCGATATCCTTCCTTTTATTTTTATTATTTTTATAAACCAATCATACACAACAATCAGATGGCGAAGGCCAAAGGCAAATAAAAATGGAGAACTCAAAAAAAATAAAAATAAATAAAAACGGCGACCAATATTTCTGATTTGGCAGTTGTCAATGCCACCTCACATTTTCTTCTCTTTGCGCGGCGAAGATAGAGAGAAAAGAGTCTCGTCCGGTTCAAAATTTTCAGATAAGAGAACCAAAAAAACTGCGAGAGGGAGGGAGGAGAGAAAATTCCCGCTCTCTCTTGCTTCCTCCGTAGGGTTTCCTTCACACTTCCACAGCATTTCTCTCAATTTTTCCCAATATTTGTTTCACCAATTGATTCGAATTCCCTGTTTTCTCGCCGGTTTTATGGACCTGGATGATTGGAGGAGTTTTCGTGCAGGTTTGCCGCGGTTTACTCTCATTTTCACATTTTTCAAACCTTGTTTTGCGCTACTCTTTGTGAGTTTTCTTTTTGTTCGCTGCTTCTGGTTTGCTATTTTGGTATGATTTTTACCTTTTTTTCCTCATTTTTTTTGTTGTTTTATTCTGCTGCTTTGTTTCGTCGATCGAGTTTTTCGCTCGTGTGCTTGTTTTGCATGTCGATCGATTATTCGTTTTGTCAAAAGTTGAACAAGTTGCCATCTAATCGCCTAAAAATTATAGGATTTCTGGTGTCAAACTCACGAATTTTTGTTAATGTATATAGTCTAGCTCTATATTCCGAGTGTAATCGAGTGACGAGGAAATGATTTGATTGTTTGTGGCAATGCAGGTGGGTTCGCCTGCCTGTTTTTCCGTTTGCAGCTTGCTTATTTTGATTTTGTGTGATTTTTAATATTATCATATGACGTTTTTGTTCCCAGCGGTGTAAAACATCTTCCTCCCCGTACATAATACATTTGCCTAGTCTCAATGGTATGCTCAGTTGGAAATGGGAGAATGGCGGTGATGACTAGGCTTCTGGCTGCTGGGAGTTTCTCGCGAACTATTACAGGTAAACTGAGAGATATTAGTTCTCCATTTATTTTTTTCATTTTTCCTACATTTTTAATTTTATTGTTTGTTTGTTTGCTTGGCGATGTCATAGTTGGTTAGATTTATCATTGTAGGAATGATGCCATCTTCTTAGTTACATGTCATCTGTCATTTTGAGTCATAATTGACATTAATATTCTTTTACTATTGGGCAGAGGAAGTTGGTCATCAGAAGTTAGCTTCTGAATTTATCTACAGAGAACTTCGTGATGCAGATGAAGCAAATTTAATTGATGAAGAAGGTGTGTACCTAATCCTATTCTGGTGCAATAATTTTAGTTATTGCATTGTGAAGTATTGATTGTTTTATTGGAATTCAGATTTTTTTTTTAAATCGTACTGTGGAATGAGTAATGTTTTTGTTCATTGGCATTTGGATTTTTGAGGCAACTTGTTGACTTTAGTTTTTATATGCAGACATGCACGTGTTTGGTTTGAAGCCTATGGCTGATCCCCTGAATTTGGTATGGTTTGGTGACGTTATAGTTTGTATATTTAACATCTTGTCATTTTTTAAAGATTTACGATGAAGCAAATGCGAAACAATTTTCTCAGACAGTCCTTTTCGGATCTCGTTTTATTACATTGCAGCTTTTGTTTCTTTGATATAATGTGCATCTGGTGTATGCATCTAACATATTAAATTTCCCATTTTATTTAAATTCACCTTCATTCTTCTTTTATTTGATTGTGTAGGTATGTTGCAATAACTGTAAGAAGCCAGTAAAGGCCAGCCAATATATCATTCATGAAGGTTTGTTATTTATTTATTCATTATTTTTTGTGAGTAGGGTATTCACCGTTTCTGGCTTTCTGCAATCATGTTATGTGAAATTTACCTACTTTTGCCATCTGTTCTGGTTTTGAATATGCTTGCTTTAGTTAATGTTATTTACTCTCATTACATCTTAGCGTATCAGTGTCCAAAATTTACATCAACACTTAGCGTAAGATGAGTGTCCATGCTTGTATTATGCAATCATGTTATGTCCATGCTTGAAGAATTTTTTGATTTTGAATGTTCCACGCTTTTCATTGAAATTTGTTCGGGTTCTAACAAATTCTTTTAAGTTGTACAATAAAGTATCTATCATGAGCTTGTTTGTTGTTATTTTTTACTCCAATCCAAAAATTTTGGTAATATCAGTCATAATACAAACTTGCATTGTGCTTTTTGGTCTCTTTTTTCTCCTTTATATGTTAGGTTTTACCCTGTAATTCTGACCTTATCCTACAGCTGAGGTATCGTAGTATTAGTATTAGGTTTGTATTACTTTTTGTTAGTTTACACTTGGTGTTGGCCAATGGAATTTGAAGATTATTGTCAGAATCCCCATTATAAAGTCTTTTATGTATCAGTTTGAACGTGATGCTTTCCTGAGTTATTTTCATGTCGTTTTACCAGAACTTTGCAGGTCATTAAGTTCTGAACAAGGAACTATTATGGATCTCGATGGTGGGATGGGCCATAGAAAAAACTCAAGGAAGGAGAAGAAAAAGTTACTGCCTGCTGATGCTAGTATCCTTTCATATCACTTTTTTTTTCCTGTTTCTAGTTGGAAGATGAGCTTCTCTCTTCTTGCCTTCCTGTTCTTCCTATCTCTTTCGTGCTCGAGTTTGTGCTGAAATTCGAGAAATTTCTTTAATGTAGCTTATGAACCTTCTCTGTTTTGTTTTTGTTCAGAAAACCCATTTTCTTTTTTGTTAGTATTGCATACCATCTTAAAGGTTTTTTTGCCTTTTCGATTTTTTGATGCAGGCTAGTTTTGTAATTGGGTTACAGTTTTTTTTAATTGTTAACCTAGATATATCAGCTGTGGAGAAAGAAGGATCTGAATCAACATATGCAGATTATTCTGCTGCCCCAGCATTTCCAATTAATAACCAATTTGAAATGGTCAAGTTGACAAAAAGTAAATCCATCTTTATCCATAGTTTGTGCCATCTTTTAATCATTTCCTTTCCTCATTTTTGATCCAGGATAAATGAGGTCGTGTACTTTATTTATGTGGCTATTAATTGTTTATTTATATAATTTTTCTAGTTTTCCAATCCATATGAACTATGTACTAGTGCAACTATGGGGTGGGAGCCTCATTGTCTTCCTATAAAATATTCTGATATTATGCATCTTGATCTTGCTGGTGTTTTAAGGAATAGCTGTGGGCTGGGTGAGCATCCATGATACCATATTATTTGTAATAGCAGAGGTCTAGACTGAACTGATTTCGAGATGTAGTCTGCCTCTCCTGTAATGAACTTTTGTTGGCTCAGATAGATCACATATTTCAGTAGTAACGTTTGAGGCTTATATTTTAAGCCAAGATATTTTAGGATCAGATTGTTATTGAAATTTAAGAGGGGAGTGAGTCTTCAAATCAATTTTGAATGACATTCCATTGCTGAGCAACATTTTGAGCAAACCATAATCTAACGATTTCTCAAACTTCCAATTACAATGGTATATATTAGTTGTTTCATATGTATTATTTTCCTTCAGGAAATTCAACTTGTAATGCGTCACCTATACTGGATGGTGGTACAGGAGTCTGTCCTGATTCAGCTAGTTTGATGCATCCTTCCACCAAGCGGTCCAAATTGTATATCCATTCTTCATTTGTATGCCATTTAATTGTTTTATCTGTGATGAGTTATCATGTGCACATAACTTCCTATTAGTTCACTCTGAAATGTATTTTCTTGTTTTTTTTGGAGGGATAACATTCCATACTTGTGTCTGCTAAGGGAGGTTTACATAGACTCTTCAAGTTGTTATTTCTTATACTTGCCTTTTTCAAGTTGTTGCGTCTGATTTTTTGCTAATGTTAGATTATTCTGATCAGTTATATTAAGCATTGTATTGTCTGTTAAAGATGTTTATGTTTTCCAGTATATTGTAGTACATTAAATTGTTTTTATTTTCTTACAAATATCTTGTCTATCTATATATATATATAACCAAGATAAGAAAACATTTTATTGTCAAGACAAATTTACTAAAGGAAAGGGGAGCTGTTCAATTCAAGCTAGAGGGCTAGGCATGATATTTATAGGGGAGAATGACAAAATGTCATGGTGTTGGAGGTTTGAAGAGACAGCGAAGATGCAATCAATCCCAAATTGCACTAATCTCCTACCTAGTGGAACAATTCCTTCTCTTTTTGGGAAGTTTTCATGGACTATTTTTCTGAGGTCTAGGCATCTAGCTTATGAAAGATGTTATCATTTGCAACCATTTTTAAGAAATGGTCATCAACTATATGATTCAGCTCCTTTTGTGTTCTTGTAGGATAACTGGTGAAGGGCTGTTACTGGCATCTGCTTTAGAACCATCGTCAACTAAAACAAAAATTAGAAGTGAGAAAATATGCCCCTGAGGCCAGTTTCCCCTCCCTGTCTGTCATTTTCTTATGCATAATGTGTATCAAGTGTTAAGATCATTGCTAGAAAGATGAATTTAAACCATAGTGCTCGCAGGAAGAATAGCACTGAAAAGTATACATTTGCAACTTACAGAGCTTTATTAGTTGCTGTCTGGGCAAAAGTCAGTTTTACTTGAAATGTTAGCTCTGCTTGTAGACACTCGTACGTGTATCTTAGAATCAATACTTGAAATTGAATTATATTTGAGTTACTAGCTTCTATAAATTTTGTGAAGTACATAGATGAAGGTCCATGGGTATTGGAAACTCACCTTTCAATTGGAATTGAAATTTATGGTTCTACACGTTACATCCTTTGAGATGTTTATCGTGGGTATTCATCTAGGGAATTCTAAAGAATGAAGACATTCAAACTAGGGGTGCACACCAGTTCTGTTTTCTCGGTTTTGGACCAAACCAAGAACCGAATCAATGTACTCTGTTTTTTTTAATGTGAAACTGAACTGATATCCAGTTAGGCACAGAACCGATTGGTCTGCTAGAACAGGGTAGTATGGTCTCTTAAACGTTTCTGTACTTAGTGGAGTAGGACTTGAAAGAATAATTAGTAGGTTATTGGGTGGAACCTATTTGATAATTATCTTATAAGAGGCTCTTTTTTCTATAAAGATGTTCTAAAATTCATTTTTTAACCGACTATGCCTTAGTTATTTTTCTCAAGTTCTTTCATGTTGTATTTTGCTTTGCTTGCTGACATTTTCTGATATTGTCAACCAGATGTTCCGTTACCCCTTGCAAGTAAAATATATTACTCTCAAAGAAATAATCGTTTGCGCTCGGCACTTGGTTATCTTTACTGGGAGGCTGTTGCATCTAGCAAGGAAATTTGTAAGGAAAATATAAATCAATTTCACAATTCTTCTCAGGAGGAGTCATCTCAAGAACAAACTAATGACATTATTGGAAAGAAGGTATAGATCTCTATTATTTTAAAATGTTCCCTTTTCTATCTAATATGTAACGGTTTTTAAAGTTTCTCCTATATATATATAGCCATATTGTTCCTTGCATAGTCAGCAGTCAGTTTGTTTTCTTTCTCCCCTTTTCCATGCTGATTAATGCTTGACATAGTCTATCATATTAGCTTACTAAGGCAGTCTTTCGGCTTGATTTAAGAAGCATGGACACAGATACAGGGCAAAAATGATACATTATGGATGGAGCTGTATCATGAACATGATAGAGTCACATAAATATATTTTTGCATACTGATCCATACAAATGTATTGAATTATACACTTATAAGAATTTAGGTCAGACCTGTATTTTTATCCATTCAATTTTAAGCAAAATTTAACATTGTAAAGTCATTCATATTACTTGATGGACAGAATATTTTCCAACAACAGAATACAATCGTCCCACAGATCACACATCTTTCAGGGTAAAGAAAGTTGCAACTCAAACATCACTTTCACATATATTATCACACTACATTAAGTTTTATTGATCAAAACCTGTATTTTTTTTTCTTTTAAAACTATCTACATGTTTTTATATATGTTAGTCACAAGGTAATTATTTCTAGTCTTGATGAATAAATTATCAATTTTTTCATTATTTTAATTATTTTCTTCATTTTCCATGGAAAACATGCCCATCAAAATGTTAAATGTCTCCAAGATTTTAAAAGTAATAAAATTAGGAACACTTTAAATCATATACCCGACATGGGTCAGTGTCTGAAAATGTCATTCTGCTAGAAATGTAGTTTCCATGCCTCTTAGCTGGTGGATTTAGTTTCTGTTTTTGTGCTTCGCATAATTTATCTTCCGTCTAGAGGAAACCACGTGTCTTGTGGTTGTTTCCGCACAAATCTCACTAGATTATGACGTATGTATGGGTCATTTAATTTGAATGTCTGTCAAATGGCATCGGTTGCATAGGGTATGTTTATGAAGTATAGTCTTTTATCGTACCAATTGGAAAACTTTACCTGAGCATCAGCTTGCATCAATTTGTGATCAGGAATGACTCATGTAACACAATCGCTCTTCCTTGGAAAACAGATGGATAGTCGGTCCTTAATGTCTGCATGGAAACCTGACCATAATCTGGCTCAATGTTTGGACATATTCTCATCTGGGAAATGTTTGCCTGCTGGTAGTGCCTCAAATAAGTTTGTTGGCAGCAGTGTTGCATGGCCACAAATTGCCGCAGTCGAATTGACACAAAAAAAATTATCTACCTAGACGGTTTGACCAAACTATTTTGAAGGTAATACAGGTACTTGAAAATTATTTCCCCCCTTTAATTTATTTCCTCGTTTTTGTGTTTTTGTGATAATGTAGTTATTGTAAGTTGTAACTCTATAAAACCATAAATTATAAAGCTCTGAGTGTCATGCCAATTTATGCTGTAACTTACAGCCCGATGGTAATAGTAATACTAACTTGTCTTGGAAGTATCTGTTACTACCTCGAACTGTTTCACCATCTCTTTTGAGTATCCCTTGTAAATGGAAAATTTTTTCAAAATGAATTGTGATGTTGCACCCATCTGATGGAATCTTTAGATTATTTTGAGAGTTAAATTAGTGTTGACTATCTGTAAGGAGTATGGGCATATCAATAGTTAGCAAGTATGCTTCCTGGAAGAAAATAGAGGGCTAGCGGAGGTTAAGCTATTTCTATGGTGGCTTGATCTAGTTCAGAAAGTAGGTATTCAACTCACTGAATTACTTGGGATTGTCCAACCTAATATATTTTCTTATTCTTTAAGCTTCCAATACAATTTCCAAATCTTTCTATCGGGTTTCTATCACTATCTTTCACGTTCTCATGAAAGAAACATTAGTTTTAACTTAACTCATACAATGAGGGGAAAATGCTTATTATTATTCATGGTTTTGCAGGAAAACCACTGGAGACTAGGCAACGGCCAAGCAGAAATGTTCCTGTTGTATAGGAGTCTTGGTGGCACTTTTTTTTGTAGGCACAGTCGTATATGTAGTTAACCCTGAACTTGAGGTTAGGACCAAGAATCTGTATTTTGATATTGGCAATGAAAATCATTTAAAATTGTCCATTCTATCACATTGTACTTAGTTTCTTCTGTTCACTGCAAAGCGTAAATATTTCCTTCAGCCACTACATATATGAAGTCATTGAGTTGTTCTGTTTGCTCATATATTAGCTGACAGTTGTCAGCTGAAATAATTAGGACACAATTTATTATTTTTCTTTGAAAACTAGATCCTAGGTTCTAGGTTCAAACTCCTATTATTACCTGTCCTATAGGTCCTACAACCGTGTCCTTGAGGTTTGAGATTCAAACTCCGGTTGAAAAATTTAATAATTTAAAACTATCATTGTCTCATACAACTAGCTTTCGCGTAGGCAGAGTTTTCTCGAGGACTAGAGAGAGTAGATCATGAGCATAATGCAAGACCGTAGGACTCTTAGTATCTTAGTTGTAATACAAAAACAGAAAACCAGGTAAAATGTCATTTAATATTAGGAAACTCTCCTTCCTTTTCTTTCTTGTTTGGTCCTTCTCCTCTCTCTCTTCTTGAAATCTCTCTTTAGTACGGAAACTGCTGCTTAAATTGCCTGATATTTTTAGGTGGGCATGGTTGGCTCTTAGAGAAATTACTGTTTAGAGTTAGGTGGGTGGGAATTTAGTGCTGCGTCTATTCAATTCAAAATCAAGTAGAAAATCTCAGGAGCAGACATTATTGTCACTAGCCGGCAGCCATCTCGCCAGCCACTCTGCAGTGAAATTAGGCATGAAATAGTGTCGTGACATCAACACAGACTTTGGGCACCAGTGGCATCTGCTCCACGTTACTGGCCAACATTTATGGCTGATATATAAAAAATCTACCATTTTTTATGACACGAGGCACTGCGTCACTGGTTAGTCTTTTGTCCCTTGCTATATAATTGATAATTGATATGGTTTTACAAAATGTGAAATTGAATTTGATGTGATGCCCTCCTCTAGTCTCTTTCCCATCACGCAGGGCAAGGTTTTGAAAGCTACCTGGCTAGGGCGCTCAAGTTGCATGGCCTCTGTGGACAATGCGCGGCAAAAGGTTTGAATTTGTGTGATCGAATTATGAAAATTTAGATTTTGCAGAGGAATTGATTTTGAGCATATCGTTCCATTTTGGGTTTTTTAGTACAATGTGTAGGGTGGAGATTCGAACTCACGATTTTTCGGTTAGAGATAGGTGTCTAAACCAATTGAGCTATGCTTACGTTGGTCTATTTTTAGGTTTGAGACTTGTAATAATGTTCGTTGGTTAATGTTAGTGCTACTTTACTGTTGAAATTCATGGGTTAAATAATAAATATAGGCTTGACTTTTCAATTTTTGGTTACAGAATGTTCAATCCGTGAATCAAATGCCTTAGTTGCACTGTACTCTTTGATTTCGTAGAGAGTTGAATGCTACATCCAGGTAAAACCTCTCTTTCTCTTTCTATGTTCCTTGCAATCACAAATGAATGAGGGATGATTCAACTTAGAGAGTTGAATGCTACATCCAGGTAAAACCTCTCTTTCTCTTTCTATGTTCCTTGCAATCACAAATGAATGAGGGATGATTCAACTTAGGGCTAACTTTTAACGGAGTCATAAATGTATAATCATTTGAGCTATGTTTAGATGAATTTCTCTTTCTATCTTTAATAAACGTATACTTTTATCGTTAACTTTAGCTTAGCTTATTGGTTTAGACATGCATCACTGACCAAAAAGATCATGTGTTGGAACCCTCCTTCCTACTTCTTGTATTAAAAAAACACAATCTCTTCTCTATTTCTTAGAAAAACAAACACAAACCTTTTCTCTCTATTGATATTTGTTTTCACATTTAATTTTTAAAAATTATATTGGAATGATATTAGTTTTCTTTAATACAGCAAATGTGGGTGAAGATTTGAACCTCGACTTTTAAAGGAAAGAATAAGATGTCTTAATCATCGAGTAGAAGACTCAATAGTGGGCTATTTTGGTGTGTTTTGGAAAATAGTCATCTCTGTTTTAGAATGAAATTTTTGTTAGGTGTAACTTTTTCTTAAAGTTGTAATTCCACAGTTTATTTTTGTAAAAAAAAAAAATCTGAATTTAATTTTCATTGATTAAGCATACTATATTATTTAATTTGACAAATCATTGACAAATAGATAGTCATAAAAAATAGCTTTCTAAACAAAAAAACCACTTTTGAAATAGAACGTCCAAATAGATTATCAGTAAAACATTGATGTAGCTCTAAGTTTGTCTAATTAAATTGGTTCTAAAGTTCTATGTTTTCTTAAAACATGTTTCCATTTGAGGCAATTACATAAATAACGTATATTTTAAAATATAATAGAAAGTTCAAAATTTTATAAAAAGAGCATAATATATATATATATATATATATTTTTTTTTTTCTTGAATGGAATGAAAATTAAACTCAAATGTAATACAATTAAGGAAAGTCGAAATTATAATATGTTTTGTTATGAAATCGTTTAAAATACATGTACAATTTATATTATAAAGTTTCTTTTTGTATGAATTTATTAATTAATTGTTCTAAATGGTAAATGTCGTGTTTGTCGTTGTATCTGAAAATATCTTCCAGATGCCGCAATAGGCGGGTTGTGCAAGTGGAAAAACCATGACAAATCTTTCAACCTTTCAATTTGCACTTTTTTTTTCTTCTTTTAATTATTTTAATGGCTCCCACAGTCCATAGGTTTCTTTATTAGTATGCTAAGTAATAATTATGCGAACCAAACTTTAATATACATATTTTTATTAAAAGATTGTGGATTTGAATCATATGATATTGAACTAAAAAATATAATTTTACAAAATTTACTATTAATCAAAATAAATTCTTTAAAATTAGTTATATGAAGAGTCATCTTGATTTTTTATATTATTTAGTAAAAGAGTCCTCTTAATTGAGGTCTACACGTCAACTTAAACCCTAAAACATAGCTTAACTATTTTAATCATATGTCTTTCGACTAAGAAAAAAAGGAAATTATAGTTGACAAGACTATGAAATGTATGAAAATAGGAAGCTCAAGATAAAAGATACGATGTTTGGGAATGATATTTTGTGTTTGGATTTGTATAGGAATGAATTTTATATATCCCGAGAATAAATATCTGACTTTCGGTTTGTGGAACAGAGTTTAGAATCTGACTTGGATTTTTATTTATTCGTTCTTTAAAATTTTTGATAAATCAATTAAAAATACAAAAATAAAACTAAGTACCAAGTTTTTTCATAAAGTAATAGTTAGTATAAAATATTATTAAACTTTATTGTTATGGTATTTAATAATAACGAAATTTTATTACCAACGTGATCATAGTTTAGTGGACCTTACTCGAGTTTGAAGCTTCAACCTTCATAAAATGAATTTTATTTGAATAATTTATTTGATATTAACAAATAATAACGATGTAAAATAAAGCCCCATCAGCTAAAAAATTCAATACAATTTTTATAACAAGAATAACTCTTGATATGAAATATGAAAATTTTATAAATTAGATTTTACATAAAATTTATGAACCAACAAAAAGAAAAATTGAAACTATAAGAAACCGAAATGTAATGAATAAGAATGGAGAGACCAAAATACAGTTTAAATCACAATAATAAAATATCAATTTTGAAATAGACATTAGAAAAAGATTCTTAGTTTAGCTCCTCAAAAGCATAGATATTCATATTGCCCAAGAGAATATTAAAGATGGTAGTGTAAATATTTGAGTATCACGGCCCCAAGAGTTAGTCCAGTTGGCAAGAGCTTGAAGTTTCTTGGTTATATTGGTTTAGAGGTCTCAAGTTTGAATCTTTCGATGAGTTTAATACAAAAACTTTAATGTCTCCTGAGTCTGAATCTTGGGGCGGGTGTGGTATTCTTAGATATAGGAGAGCAAAACTCTAACTCCTTGTAGTAATAATATATATATATATATATATATATATATATATATATATATATATATATATATATATATATTTTGGTTGTTTCGTTTTTAACCCAACTCAAATATTAATTTAATTTATTTGTGTTTAGATTGTATCTCGTGATTTTTTTCTTTTTAAGTACCATAAATATGAAAATAGAGGATTAAACATTTAATCTTTAAATGAGTAATATATCTTAATCGATGAGCTTTAGACGATAGCTCAAAATTAATTTTAAGAAAACTTCATATTTCTTAACAGGTCATGGGGATCTTTTTGTTTTTAATATACGAAAAAGTTATTGATTGTTTTCTTTTATTTCTGGGAAAAAATACTGTTGTTCTTTCTTTTTTTTTTCTTTTTTTTGAAGCAAATTTAAATTATAATCCTAAAAACAAAACAACCTGTAAAAGATCTTAAAAGTTAAAAGGTGGAAATAGGAAACAATTTTAGAATCCATTCCCACAGGCCTCAGGCTATTAAATGGATAAGCCTGTCAACGAAAGTGGGCCCCTTCGTGGGACCATCTAATGGCAGACATAATTGACATGGCCCAATTTTTTAATTGTTTTATTTGAAAAATAAAACTCAAATTACGACTTTAGCTCAAATATAAAGTTATAAACTTTTTTACTTTTTCTTCTCGAGAAAATAAACTTTTTACTCATAACATAATTTAATTTATTAGAATATCATCAATTAAAACATAAACTAAAACTAACTTTTTTATTGAGTTGTATGGAGTCTTAACAAAACTCATTTGACAATTATTTCATACTTAGAGTTTTTATTTTAAAAATTAAAATTAGACTTGTTTATTTACAATTGTTCTTGTTCATTTTTAAAATCCTTTTATAATTATTTTTTTAGTTATACTTAAAAACAAAAAAATAGATTTTATTTTATTTTTTTAGTTTTTTAAAATCTCTTTGAATTACTATAAAATGTTTTTACGTTTATATCTCATTTTAGTATCTTAACTTCTAGTCTTATTATATTTTGGTTTCTAAGTTTTTAAAATTTACATTTTAGTCTATGAACTTTTACAAAATCACAATTTTAACATTAATATTTGTCCCACCAAATACTTACTCCAATCAATCTTGCGTAGCTTCATTGCATGTATATATCAATATGTTAATACACCAATAATCCATCTGTTGAATAATTTACGAGATTATAACGATAAGTATTTAAACCAAGCATGAAATTTTATAATATAAAGGTATATTAAAAAAAGAAGAAGAATAAATTATAAGTGGCAAATTTAGTATTTAAGAAAATGAAAATGAAAAAGCAAAATTTTAATGCTTCAAAATTGGGATTAAAAATGATATTTTTTAGATAATAAGCTTGATTTTGATTACCACTTTGACAAGCAAAATAAAATGAATGGGCACTGTGGTGGGAGCTGGTTGAGCCTCACCTACTAGAAAAGGGCATGTGGTAGCAAGTCTTTGTGGTTTCTATTTATTTATTTTTAAGTGCATTTTTTATTATACATTAATTTTGTTTCATTATTTCTTCTTAAATGAAATTAATCATTATAGGTTGGTTCATCAGTGAAAAAGGCAAATAGTAAACTAAATGTGAATTTAGATCAGAATTCTTATACACATGAATGAAGTTAATTTTTTTTTTTTGTGAAATATATTTTTAATATATAAGATTTGAAACAAGTAAAACTATAATACAAACTATAAAAAATCATTCCAAGTTTGAACAACAATCATTTTTAAGGAAAAAAAGTACTTCTTGGTTACTAAAAGATGTGGCATTTATGATCGAGACATTGTTCAAAATTTTCTTAAGGCCCGTTTAATAATGTTCATGATTTTTGGTTTTTATTTTTAGTTTATGAGAAAATAAGTATTTAGTAACTGTTCCAGTTTTTTGTAAGAAAAGTTTATAAAATTTTATGAAATTTTAGAAACAACCAAATCAAGTTATTTTTTATTCGTGTTTCAAGTTTTTACCAAACACATAAATAGAATATTATTTTATCATTTTTTACTTAGAAATTGTATAATAACTATTAAAAAATAAATATAACATAAAAAATTTGAATATTTAATTTAAATAATTAAATTTCATATAAAATTTATTTTATTTTAAAATGTTAGAGGGTGAGAAACAACCAAACATATTTTTATTTCTTTTTACATAAAAAAATAAAAAAATAAAAAAATAAATAGTTATTTTTATTTTTTTGAGTACAATACGTAGGATGGAGGATCGAACTTAATATTTCCAATTACCGCCGAGCATAAAAAATAAAATGAAAAGTTAGAAATATGAAATATGAATATTATCCAAGGGACCTAAAACTTTCCATTCTACTCTCAAGATTTTAATTTTGCCAGACATTTTAATGAAAATTGCTATTAAATGGGGTTTTTTTTAATAAGTAAAAATAAATAAGGTAGAATTGAAGCTTTAAGTTTTTTAAGTTAAAAAGTATAGATAAATCAAGGTTAAAAAATATATTTGTTGAATTTTAAAACATTTAGTTCAGACTATGAGAAATCCCGTGAAGTCGTAATGAAGTTTTTTGTGCACTTAAGACTAAAAAATGTTTTTAAATTGGAGAGAGTATAGCTTGATAGAAATTAATTGTTAGACTAAATCGCTGCCCGATTTGAAAATATAAAGAATAAATCATAAAATACTAAAATTCAAAAACTAAAAAACAGATAACAAATCATTACGTATTTAACTAAATCATTTATTTCACATTCTAAATTTAGTTTATGATAAAGTTTTTTCTTTTTCTCATTTTTAATCATGCTTGCAACTTGCTTCTACCCTAAAAACGAGAGAAAAAGATTGCTAGTGATGTCATGTCACCTCAATAAGTAATCAAACATTTATTAATTGCTTAATCCAACTCTTAATAATGTCTAAGATGCTTTGCTAATCCAATTTCCTACGATTTCCACAATAAATGCCAAAAATCTTTAACTTTTGTTTTTAAATAATTGAATTAGCCTGCTACTTACTTATTTATTTTGCTTTTAACTTTTTCTAAATATAGTCCCGAAATTCTAACAATGTTTTAGAAAAATTAATAAGTAAACTCAATTATGAAAACTAATATATATATAATTTTAATTTTTTTAAAAATAATTTTGAAATTGGGCTAGGATTTTAGAAAATGATTCGTTAAAAGTTTGAAATATAATCTTTAAACATTGGTTTTGATAGATTTTAGATTTGAATAGTTTTATTTTTTAATATCCGAATTTTAAGGATAAATAACAAAATTGTAAAAAATTATGAATTGTCTGGGACTATTAAATGAAACAATTCTTCTTATCTTCTAACTTTAACTCTCTTTCTATTTGATAAAAAAAAAAAAAAACTCTCTTTCTATATATTTCTATATTTTTAGAAAATTATGTACCAAGGTTAAATGTTGATACAGTGAGATTATAGATCTAATCACAGATTTTTATTATTTAAATTAAAAATTGATTTACTAGTTCTGAGAAACTGCTACATTTACAAATAGTTTTTAAAAACCAGATCTTTGTAATTTTTTTTTAGAGAATTATAAAAATAATATATATATAAATAAAATTTAAAATCTTACAAAAATGCCATAAATTACAAATTTATAATCAGATAACATCATAACACCAACTAAAACTCATTTTGTGACATTTTTGGAAGAAAAAAACAAAAAGTAATAGTATTTTTCATAAATACATATTTATTTTATTCCATTTATTATAATTTATCTATTTTCTTAAATGTTACCAATTTGATTAAATACTATTTTGGTCCCTTACTTTTTATTTTGGTTGATTTACTTTCAAAATGTCTATTTTATCCATATATTTCAACTTTTGTTTGTTTTAGTTCCTATATTTTCGAAATATTCGTTTTGGTCCTTTAATTTAATTTTAATCTCATATTTTTCTACCACAATTTTAACATGACACTTTTTCGCTCACTCAATATATTGAAATATAGCGGTAAATTTATATTAAAAACTTTCCATTGTATATAAAAATTGTATTATAATTTTACAAAATAGAAACCAAAATGATCACTTTTTCAAAAGTTAAGAGACCAAAAGGAACCTTTCAAAAGTACAAAAACTAAAATAAATAAAAATTAAAAATTAAAAGTATAGGAACCAAAAGAGACCCCTTGAAATATAAAGATAAAAATAAATCAAAACTGAAAGTATAAATATCAAAATAGTATTTAAAGTTAAATCCACAATTTTTTTAAAAAAAATAAATAATAAATCAATTTAGTGTAAAAAAAAGGTAAAAGATAATAATGAAATAAACAAGGCACATAAATAATTGAAAAGAAAATTGGGAAGCACTGAAAAATGGTTCCGAGGCAGTTCCGTTCCATTTCAGTAGACATCGCAATCTGAAGTCGATTCTTACCTTCTCCAAACCAAAACCTCCTCCTCTTTATCTTCAACATTTTCCCGGAAAATCGTCTCAATTTTCTCGGCAAGATTCCTTTCCTTTCTTCCATCTTCACTGTCCTCTGAATTCCAAACTCTCTGTGTGTTTTTGATTCCGCCTTCTCTTTGTTCAAGCAGCTTTTGTATGACATAGATTGTAGATTGTGATACAACTCGGCTCCCATGTCTTTGAAGAGTTTAATTCAGGAAATGAGATCCAGGTCCCGCCGGGTGGTGCAGGACGGATCGGCGGCTGAAGTAGGCGACGGTTTGGCGCAGAGCTGCTGGGCGTACATGCCTCAGGAGTTACTGAGGGAGGTGCTGATTAGAATCGAGAGCTCCGAGAATGCTTGGCCTCCGCGGAAGAGCGTCGTGGCGTGCGCCGGAGTTTGCCGGAGCTGGAGACGGATTACCAAGGAGATTGTTAAAACTCCGGAAGTTTCTGGCAGATTGACGTTTCCTATATCCGTCAAGCAGGTTTGGGATCTCAAACTGTTTCGATTTCCTGGTTTTACTTCTCTACTTGTTGTGTATTTGAATTTTATCGGTTGGATTTGAATTTTAAGTCGTGAATGTAATGTAATTCCTGAATCCTGACCTCTCTTTGGTTAGTGTTACCCTACTTTGATTTAATCGAACTCTGATCAAGCCTCTTCAATCTACCGTGTTATGGTTCCTAAAATTCAGCAGGCGAACTTGTTACTGCAGGCGATTTTTTCGCTCGCCACGATTATTGCTCATTATTAGCTGTCATCTGAATGGTTTTCCATTTTTAGATTCAAATAACCTGTTATCGTGTTTATCTTTTCCTGTAGAGCATATTCCTAGAGTGTAATCTGGGTTAACTTATTCTAAAAATTAGAAATGAGTCTTCTAGTTCAAGGTATGAGATGAAGATGAACAAGTTAATAGTTCCTTCCCTTGTATTGGTATCTAAATTCCCTTATCTTTAGGTTTAGGTGTGGTTAATTGGGATTTGGGGAAGTGTTCTTTTATAATATATTTATTTGGAAAATATCAAATTTGTATATTAATTCGTTTATTATTGCTATAAGCCGCATGATTCTGTTATAACATTTGCATATTGGAGATAACGTGAGTTTATGAAAATTTAACTCCTGTATGTGTTTAGTCTGACTTGGTGGTGGTGTTTGCAACATCTCATATACTTCCAGTTTCTCGAATTTGTCATTTTTACATTTGGAAATTTCCAACAAAAGGTATAGCAACCGTTTAGGGACCACGTTTAGCTTCAATACTTAGGTCCACTCTAATTATTGGCTTCTACTTTTTGAGAGTGCTGGTCACTATTTTTCTAGTATTTATTTCCTTCATATATATTGGGACTACTGGTTGAGTGTCTTATAAGTTTATCTATTATTGCAGTTCCAGTTTCTGGTGAAATTATTTATTTGGCTACTTGCTTTTCCTTTTTGAATTTCTTATATACATACATACATACATACCTACATTAATTTATTTGTTTTTGAAATGATAGTGTTGTTTAAAATTGCTTTGAGAAAATTATTTAATTACTATTGAGATTTTATTAGAATTAATTTTCTACGTCACAAAATTCCTTCTTATCTTGGTCTAATGTTGGTGTTTTTTTTCTCCTTTTTTATTATTTTTTTTTGGCTTGGCAGCCTGGCTCAAGGGATTCGCTTGTTCACTGCTTCATAAAACGGAATCGGTCCGCACAAAGTTATTGCCTTTTCCTTAGTTTGACTAGTGGTAAGCTGCCATAGCTAAAGCAAGTTACTTGGCACTTTCCTTTCTTCTTTATTCTTTCAGCAGTTTACTAAAATTAATTGCATGATTATTTTAAAAAGTTCATTAATCGGGTGGTTTAACTCTTCACTAGGCGCTTTTTTTTGTATCTTTCAAGGAGAGTGACCTCCTTTTTGTAGTTTATACAATAATCTACGGGGGTAAAAGGGGGGACGGGAGGATGTATAAAGTTGCTCACTTTTGGCCTTTGGCTTTGTTCACAGCACTTGCTGACGATGGAAAGTTTCTTCTTGCTGCACGCAAGTGTCGACGGGCCACCTGCACTGATTATATAATATCTTTGCATGCTGATGACATGTCCAAGGGAAGTGGCACCTTTGTTGGGAAATTAAGGTAGGCGTTTGATATTGACTGTATGATTTATTTATTTATTATTATTATTATTATTATTTTTTATATTAACTCAAATGTTAATTTTTTTTCTTTTTTTAAAGATCTAATTTTTTAGGAACCAAGTTCACAATCTTTGATGGACAGCCACCTCATGCAGGAGCCAAGATTTCAAAAAGTCGCTCCTCTAGGCTTGTGGGTCTCAAACAAGTGTCACCTAGAGTTCCGGCCGGCAACTACCCTGTGGCTCACATCTCATATGAGTTAAATGTCTTGGGTTCAAGGTACATATGAAGAGGCTTTACTCTAATTTTATGAATCCCTTATCGAGCTGTGTTACTGAGAATGAGGAAACTATACTTTTATAGAGAAATCCCCCTATATGAAAATGATTGTCATTGAATGTTAATACTTTGTGCTGAATGAGCGATGTACAAACTGATCTAATTTTGCATTGTTTCTGTATTATCGGGACACTGGGTGCCGGTTTGTTGTGGGTTCTTTAAAGAGGCTAATATGGTTTACGATGCAGGGGACCAAGGAGAATGCATTGTGTCATGGATGCTATTCCTTCATCTGCTATTGAACCAGGAGGGGTGGCTCCAATACAGACTGAATTCTCCCCAAGCCGTATCGACTTTCTTCCATCAACGAGATTTTCCCGTTCAAAAACGAATCACACGGATGATCTTCAATCATCAGGATCTTCAACCAATCAAAAAGATGGAGTTTTGGTTCTTAGAAACAAGGCTCCACGGTGGCACGAACAGCTCCAGTGTTGGTGTTTGAACTTCCATGGGCGAGTGACGATTGCTTCAGTGAAAAACTTTCAGTTAGTAGCTTCACCCGAAAATGGACATGCCGGACCTGAACATGAGAAGATCATCCTTCAATTCGGAAAAGTGGGAAAGGATGTATTCACAATGGACTACAGATATCCAATCTCAGCATTTCAAGCTTTTGCCATCTGCCTCAGCAGCTTTGACACAAAGATTGCTTGTGAATGACACGTCTTTGAGCAGGTTTGAAACAAATTTTAACTTTGAGCTTTTTTAAAAAAAAGCATTATATTTTAACCTTTTGGGACATTTAATGATTGCTATTCTGATTTCTTGATTCATTTTTGTTAATCAATAGAAGCATGTAAGCGCACGCAGTGGGCTTTTCGCTTGACGGCGAGAACTACTGAATGGATGAAAGATCCTTGAACTGGAAGGAAATGCAAGCTTAGTTGGAAGTCAGGCTTTGGATTTCACTGCTCAATCTCCAACGTTTGGTAACTTTTTGTGTCCACAGTACATTGAATATTTATTTTCGTTGATGTAAATAGTTAACTCTTTGTATGATTTGATGCACCAAGGGGCTCCGTTCCTAATCAAATATACTTTACTTCACTGGTGCTTGATTTTTATCTTTCATTTTGTGACTATCTTTTACTTCATTGGGTTCTACTTCTGCCTCGATGAAGTCCACCCCCTCTGTTAGTGACGGCTGAAGGCTGAGGGATCGTCAATGTTTGATGCAAAATTTCGAGGTACGCCATTTTTTCTACAGTGACTTCTGATAGTTAAACATTAAGGGTAGAGATCAAAGACGTGTGAACTCTGAAGATCATTACCAAGATTTTGAAAATGTTTACATAATTTGTGAAAATAATACTTTCTCGAGCTAAATTTTTGTTATTTTGGAGATTTATTTTGTAGCGATATAGAGGTCTATGGTTAAGTGGAAGTATGCTGGGTAGTGGTTGCTTTTATGGAATTCAAATAACATGTGGGGGTGGGGTGGAGATTCAAACTTCTGACATTTTAGTTAAAGATATAGCATTCACTAGTTGACTATGCTTAGGTTGATGATTGGTTTTATCGTTGTGCGGCAGTTTATTTGGTCGGATTTGGGTATTTTGGGTATTATTTAATCTGCTTGATTACGGTTGAATCGGGTTGGATGAGGGTGTTTTAGGGGGATGAGAATGATTTATTTTGGCTGATTTTGGATTAGTTCTTTCATGAAGGTGTCGACTCAACTAATACGAGTTTGAGGTTTAATTTTATGGGAAAAAGGATAAAAATTGGCCAAATTAACTAAAGGTTTTTTTTTTTTTTTGAAAGTTTACATGTTAGGAACTAATTAAATTTGAAATTTTATGTAATTGGAAATGTAGATTCAAACATGATTATCAGAAATTTGGACAAGAGTTACTATGTGGCAAAGCGTATGTCAAATGTCAATAATTGTATCTTTGAAACTTCAAATCATTTTTAATTGAGCATGGAACATATTATACAATTATTTTTCACTTCATTTTTTCTTTTAAAAAAATAAAAATGATTTGTAATAGAAAGAGTGTGTGCAATGACCAATAAACAGAGGAAATTCTTTTTTCAACACAATCTGTTTCACATGAAACACACGCATATTCAATGCATGCCTACCTTACAAATTGGGTTTATGGTCTTTTTATTTTTAAATTTTTATTATTTAGTATAAATCATTCACATGTGGAGGAAAAATTTGAACTTGAAAATTCGAGAAAATTTTCTAAAGCTGTATGTTATAATAATAATAATAATAATAATAATATAAACCCTTATACTTGATTTTGGTTTTTCTTTTTTTTTTTCATTAAGCTGAATATACAATAATCTGTTGCCTGAGATGAAGTTCTCAATTTTACCTCTAAAATATTGTTTTTTATGAGCTGTTAATTAAATATCTACCTTCTATTAAATAAATGAGTAAATAATTAAATATCTACCTGACTCCATCTCACCACATTAAAAAATTTAGCGTTGGTTGATTTTATGGCCACTTGCCTATTCTTAGTGTGGAGAGATGTAAGATGTAAATAATTGACCTTCAAAAGTTGTCTCATAAAAATAATTCCAAATATTTCTAAATGCTATATTACTAATTTATTCAAATTTCAATTATGTTATTAAGAATTTAATTGTCAAATTAAACACAATTCAATTAGTCGAACCATTAATAACCACTCCTAAAAGTCTATGTTCAAATCTACACATTGTATTTAAGATGTAATAATAAAAAAGTGTAAGAACTTGATCGAATGATTTACAAAACAGTGTAAACTTTAAGAACCAAACGATATATTCAAACCATGGATTGAAGTAGCAACATGCTCAAAAAGGATAGTTTTACCTCAAAATTCACTAGAAAATTAGAAAAGGTTAATCTAATAAACTACTACAGATAAAGTTACATCGAGCATAATCGAGCATAACGTAGTAGCCAAGTCATCCTACTTTTCTTCCAAGTTAGGGAAAAAAATCTATGGAAAATATCTAAATTATTAAACAACAGAGATTTCATTGAATTTGGAAAGCCTTCCGATCCCATGAAGCAAATGAAATTCAAAGGATCACATAAGGATTTCCAAAGACAAATTTATTGATATTTTCCAATAAGCTAATTATAGTTTTGCAGCACAGTGAAGAGATTATGAAAAAGGGGTAAAAGAAAATATAAGGAAAAAAAAATATACAAACCAGTGAAGCATCTGACCTTACAAAAATATAGAAAACTGAACATTAAAAATGAGAATGATATACTCTTTACCTCTCCCATAGAATCCGGTCGAATATCCCGGCCTTAGTCTGAGAATTTCTGGACGAAGATCTGTTCGAGCCTTCCGAGAAGCTCACCGAACATCAGCACGATTTTCGTGTTTTATATCCGAGCAGAATTTTTATCCTTCCGCAAGTCCTTGGATGATTTTGATGAATGGCCATCACCTAGAGTGTGTTTTTTCCTTCTTGGAGCACCAACAGCAGCTGGGTCCATCAAGGGACCAGACCATGTCTGAATGTTTGCTTTTGGATATGAGAAATTCATGGTGCTAAATGGAACGTCGGGAGGATCGTAGATGGGATCGACGTGGTGTGAAGATCCCAGAGGGTAGCCAAGCGCTCCGTCTTGATGTGGAGGAGGAAACTTTTCGCTCTTGCTCTTCGCATTCGCATGAGTTATGAGACGCCGCCTCTGTACAGAGAACACTGATTTCATTAACAGGAACCAAATAAAATCGAAGCACAAGAACATATGAACATGGCGTACATCGAGATTGGCTTGAAGCTCAGCATTGGCTTCTGGAGCTGGAATTGCCCGCACAGCTCGATCGCGTGCACGTGATTTCTTCACCCCATCGGCGTTGCTTCGGCCAGCAGCTCTTAGCCTGCACTCACACAGCTCAAGTCAGAAAAATGAGACAAGAGCCAATCAATTGCAGGTAATGTAAATACATTCAATCCACTGTTTATTCCTGTATATGTTAGTTTAAATCCGAAATCGACCTTCTTCAATTGCAGGTAATGTAAATACATTCAATCCACTGTTTATTCCTGTATATGTTAGTTTAAATCCGAAATCGACCTTCTTGCTTCTTCATCCCGCAGTTTTGCATCCATTTCCTTGCTTGGAGGATACTTGGGAAGGCTGGAAGGCTCACAAGCATATGGCTTGGTAGTGAAAAACTGCAGAGTAGAAGAGAGTTCATAAAATGCCTAAACAAGAGAAACAAAACAAGAGCTACAAAAATCCACACAAAAAATGGCTCCTATGCAATCAGTTTCCAACTCAATCTACAGCTTGCATGAACAAAAGGTTCCGATAACGAGGAAGAGCGACTACTTTGCATTAACTATGCTCTGATCCAACAAATCGAGAGGCTAAAAGAGCGAATCGTTTTTTCACCCATTTGAACTTGTTCATAATTTCTGCGTTTCAACCAAGAACATCTGACGATAGCAGCAAATAACTCCCAGATCTAGATTCTATTATTCCTTATTTTCTTTCCTTACAAAGAAGCATCATAAGATCCGCCTAACCTATTTTTCGAACAATTCTAAGTTCCTACTCCCTTCCGTTCGCTACAGAAGGAAATTGAGCTTTTACTATCAATGTTGAATTGCTGCTAGGTCAAAGTTTACAAGACTAAAAGGAATTCACTGGTTCTCAACTCACTTTGGAAAGGGGAAAAAAGTGATAGCTAGCTATATAAAAACTGAAGGGCAAAAATGAACGCAGTTTGTGTATGCTACAATATAATGTATGAACTCACTTCACTATGTAAAGCAGCAGTGGCCGAAAGGCGTTCAGCCGGGTCGATTGCAAGAAGTATCTCGATTAATGGCAGAGACGATGGCGGAAAGTCTTTAAATGTCTCTGATATGCATCTCTTGTATGAATGCTGAGGCTTGAATATGGTTGCATGAGGCAACTTCGATTTTTTCCAGTATTCGTCTGTAGGAGAGCCACATAACTTGAATATCTTATGCAGCTGCTCGACCTGGTAAAAATTCGAACAATAATCGTCATTCGTCAGCATGACTAAGCTGAATATGCTCGATCACGACAAAAGCAATAGAGCCCTAAGAAATATGAACTTCACACAAGATCGATGGGTGCATTTGACTAACCGAAGACGGAAAGAATGATGGACCAGTAAAGAACTTTACCTCCGTGCGACCGGGCATGATCGGCCTTCCAGCTAACAACTCAGCTAAAATGCAGCCAGCACTCCAAAGGTCCACACCAACACCATAATCAGTAGCTCCAAGAAGAAGTTCGGGAGGTCTATACCATAGAGTAACCACCCTACTTGTCATTGGTTGCTTGTGGTTAGGATCAAAGACAGACGCCAAACCGAAATCGGCTATCTTAAGGATCCCATCATTACGAATTAGAAGATTTGATCCCTTAATATCACGATGCAACACGTGACGGTTGTGACAATGTTCAAGCCCTGATAATAATTGGTTCATGTAACATTTAACCTGCTAAGTCCATTTGAAGAATTAGAACTAAATACTAAAGCATCCATTTCTTTTGAGAAAAAAATGAATCAAACGAGCGAGTCAGATCTTGCAATGAAAGCAAACAACATAGTATCGTCACACCTGCGGTTCGGTAAACTTGATCCCGGGGCTAGCAGCAAGTCCAGCTAAATCATGCTCCATATATTCAAATACAAGATATAAACTGCACGACATCCGGGACGTCACCAAACCTTCTAGCTTTACAACATTAGGATGATCCAAACGCCGCAGAATGAGAATTTCTCGCGCCATAAATCTCACACTCTCCGGCTCCAAATTGTCAAAACGAACCTTCTTTAGAGCCACAATCTTCCCTGTCAATGTATCCCTTGCTTTGTACACATTACTATACGTCCCCTGCCCAATCTGTTCAACAAAAATTTACACAACTTTGGGAATTCTGGTTTTGTTCGTAAATGGAAAGAGGGGCAAAAACTGAAACCACATATTTGAATCTTGGCGATTCAAAACAGAGAGATTCTCATATTTAGCAAGAACATCAATGGCAATAACTGACAGACACTTCCAATTCTGACAATTAATGACCTTCTTCAACTAAGAACTTAAACTCCAAACAGTCAAAATTAGGAAAATTTGTTCACAAGAAGGAGAAACATACTTTATCAAGCTTCTCGAAAGTGTCCGCGCGACGAGGAATCCATCCATTGATAGCCTCACCGGCGACGGCGGAGAGCCAAGAGGGCCAGCCGGCGGCGACTTGCTCCCCGTGCACATGCTTCGGCGGATTACTCAATCTCGGATTCGGCCTTGACGATCGCCGCCGCTCGCCTCTCGGCCTCGAACCTCTGTGATTCTCATCCTCAACCGCCTTCCTAGCCCCGCCATTGCAAGCATTAGCCGCCTCACCAGCCTCCGCTTTCGCAGAAGCCCTAATTTCCTCCGCCGCAGCCTCCGCCGCGGCGTCCGCCCTCTTCGCCTCTCCCTCGACGGGCTTCGCAGATACCTCTCGCCCAAAAACACACCCCATCACCCGCCAACAGCAAGAAAAACAAAACTCATCGAATCATTCCCCCATCACATTCCGTCGATTTCTCACCATGGAAACCCAACAGCAGCAGGGTGAAGGGCGATGTGATCCGACCAAAAACAGCACCGAAAAACCCTAATAATTCCTCCTTTTGGAAGAGGGGGAAATGGGGGTGTGAAAGAACAAGTATGAAAGTGAATATAAGCAGAAAGATTTTTGGAGACAAAAGTAAGAGAGAGCAATGATTTGGAGTTGGCCACAAATGGTGGCACAGTCAAAATTAAAGAATTAGAGCTTCAAAAACACACCAAAAAGTACCCAACAAACAAACCCTCAATTTCAATTTAATTACCCATTATCAATTTTCCTTTTCTTAACCCAAAAAACTTTATGAACTGATTCAGGAAGAACTAGAACTGGAAGATGGTTTTTTTTCTTTTTTTTTTTTTTGGGAATTTGGAGTTCAGCAGAGAAAAAGGAGGATTTTGTATAGAAAAAGAAAGAATGTTAGAAGACAAGAGAGAGAAATTGAATTGAAATTGAAATTCTCTCTCTCTCTCTCTCTCTCTCTCTCTTCGGTTTTGGACACATTTCTTATAGCCGAAGAGAGAGAGAGAGAGTCTCCCCCAGTCAACCAGTCAAAATCCTTCTTTTCCTGTCTACCCAATGATGAGCCGACGCGTGTCCAATCAGAGAGTTTCGAGATATTGTGATTTCTTATGTATACGTGTCGACCCTTTATTTGAGGACTGCATTGGATTTCGGTGTGGGCGCCCGCAGGGTAGCCTGGGAGAAAGCAAGCATACTGATTTGATTCGGGGATCTATCCTCATGGATGTGCTGACCTGGCAAAGTACTGTTCACCTTTTCCACTCTGTGCTCCTCGGACTGAAAAATTTTCCAGTAATAACCCTTTATTTATTTATTTATTATTATTAGTACAATATTCGACCACATATATTTGAACAATTACGATTTTTTTTGTTGGATACTGCTGTCTTAACTAATTTAGTTAAATTCAAGATTGGCATCTCCCTTTATTTACGGTATGATTTTGTCTTTATAACTAATTTTTTATATTATGGATCTCATGTCATTTTAATATTATCTTAATGTGTCAGGTAAAAATGAAAGGTGTATCTGTTCTCTTGAAGTACCCAAAATTTTCCTCCTCCGACCATGCAGCTCCATAATTACATACGATTATGCTAATTTTCTCTTTTGAAAAAGGAAAAAAAATTAGGACCGAGGTTCGAACCGTCCACATTTTAAGACGGTGTACCTAAACTGTGCTTGGATTATCCACAATTTCACAGTATATATTTGAATCTATGACATTAGAGAAATACTAAATTATATTAAAAGTAGTACAATTATGTAAAGTTCTTGTAATAATAATAATAATAATAATAATAATAATAATAATAATAATAATAATAATAATAATAATAATGTTGATTATTTATCTAACCGAACACTCGCTCTTCAAGGAAGTAAATAATGTCATAACCAATTAAGTTGGGTTCGTCATCTCTGGTAAGTTAAATATTCATTGTAAACGTTATATTATAATATTTTCTTCATAAAAAATATTTGTGACGAATTATTTTTCAAATATTATTTTCCACGAATGACACGATCCTCTTAATGCACAAATGGTATACTTTTAGTATAGATAATGAAATTCAACCTTCATCCATCATAATGGTTCATTTTAATAATGTTAGGAGTCATTTGTGTGTTTATCATTTTTGGAGTCCTTTATAACTTTTAAAATTTTATCTCAACATTTATCTCAAAAAAAAAAAAATTATCTCAACAAATTTTTTTCTAATTTTTTGTACCTTGGGTGCAAGTATCTCATCAAATTCAAACAAGACATGAAGTTTAAATCAATGAAAGACCCGCCAAATAAAGTAGAAAAAGGACGAAAAAAGTAAACGTGAAACGTCTTTGAACCCACAAAAGAGGGAAGAATGAGAACAACATTCCATATTCTCCAAGGTACGAACCAATGCGAATGATTCTCAATTTCATGTGGACTCACGAATCAAGAACCAATCTTCATTTCTTAATTAAATTGCCTATTGAACCACTAAATCAATTCATCGTGGTTCTTGAAAACCCAGATCCAAATCAATTCGACGTCAAGTCAATAGCATTAAATTCCTCGATTGAGAATTATAATAGAAGCTAACAAGCTTTACACATCAAAACTATTATGTTATGTTCACTTCTATTATATTTTTTAAACATAATTATCACGTAAGTATATCATCGAATCAAAGTCACAACAAAATGACTGAAAACATAGGAAGAAGAAGGAAGAAGGCAGTTAAAAGGTTGGTGGCCTACATCGACATTCGCTCGAGCATTCTGAACACAAAATTACTCGAAAACCAATTGATTACAATGTAATCAACTTTCAACTTCATTATGTGTCCAATACTAAAACAACAATGAAGAGAACAAAAAGGTAACCGTTTTTCAAGGACGTGTTTGAGTAAATTTTAATATAACCGAATCTCATGTCACAAAACCAGAGTCTCCGTTGTCGTTTTCAACAGTTGAAGATGGGAAAAACTTTAAGGCAAGAGAACTAGAGGGTGGGGATTAGGTACAATGTCACCCCCTTCTGGTTTTTGCTTGTTCCATGAGAGGATTATGCTATGCTAATAGCCAAACAGAGCATGAGAAATATATTGTCAGCTTTGAGATTGTCAAAGAAAAGAATATTAGAAATCCTTGATCTTTTATATTCACAAGTACAGCTTCACATTTAAGCTAAAATAACAAGTGATGGTTTCTCTATCCCACATTTGGAAGTCAGAAATGAGTTGAGAGGTCAGTGTTTGAAATCCAAGAGTGACAAGTTTTGATTCTAAGGTACTTCCAAATCTGTTCAGTTGAATTTTTAATCACTCTTTATATACTTCTCAGCCATGTGGACGTTACGGGTATAATCAATCGATGTGGCATTGAATGGTTCCTCCTTTTTGGGGTGGGTTGGATAAAAGTCGAGCAGGAATTGACTCTCCTCAGAACCAAACTGACTCCCCAACCAAAATCGACTGAATCAACTGACTATATTATGGTTGATTTTCATGCATTTGAAAACAGTTCCAATCGATCAGGATGGTTAAACAGACTACAGGTACGTTTGTTCGACTGGACTAGATCGGCTCTTATTTCCATCCCTAGAAAATATTTCCTCCTAGAAAGATTAATACAGCACTACTACGATGGTATAGTTAGTCAAAGAGAAGATTTGAAGAAGTCTATGTCAGAAACTTGAGCGAAAATGTAGCGGGAGCTTCACTTTTACTGTAGTTCTAGACCCTTTATTGTTCCGTGGCTTGGATGTTAGCCTCTCACTTCCAAGGCCAGCAGTTGCTATGGATTTGTTGTCCTAATACACAGTTTATGTTCAGCATCGCTGTGGCGATACTTACGGGTACAGTAAAGACAGCAATGATGGGAGGTGCTAAGCAGCTGCAAAATGTTTATAGTTTTCTCTCCATCCTTTTGAGGCCAATTCTAGATTAGATTTCAGATTCTTGAAGAATAATCAACTCTTGAATGAAAACATAATAGAACTCTTGATTCTTGAAGCAACAATTAATTGAGTAAGAAACCAAAAAACATAACTACCAATCATGAACAGCATGCTCACCAGAAGAATCATTATGGAGCATAAAAATATGGCACAATTCATTACATAATGATATTGTTTTGAAGAGTAATGAAGACAATTTACAACCCTTCAGATATGCAAGTAATGTGGAAAACAACTTGATAGGAACTCAAGGAAAACAGTCGGGATTCGGACAAAGAAACGACGCACCTTCTTCACGTGCACCGTCCATCACAGACTGGCAAGTTCAACAAGCTGTTGCTCTGCAGAAAATATCAAAAAATCGTCTGTTCACCTAATTCTTGGCCAGCCATCCCTTCCCTGAGGACCCTTTCAAAGAAGTCTTCCAATGTGTCCTTCCCATAACTCGGTGTTTTCTCTGCACTGTACTCTCCGGTCTCGGTATCTAAAATCAACATACTCTCAGCTGCATAATATCTCCCGATCTTCCCATACTCGGCAGCATCCTCCATTGCGGGAAAGAACTTGACAAGGAAATCAAGAACTCCAATGGCAAAATCCATAATCCCAATCGGCACTTTCAAGAAGTTCGGTTCTTTCCCCAAAAGCCTAAACAAGATCTCGCCTTGCTCCAACGGAGTCAACGCCTTCCCAGGGCCACCAATGGGCAAAACCTGATTGATTTTATCTTCACTCAACACACAGTCGGCGATAAAAGACGCCAAATCCTGCTCGCTTATCGGCTTACAGGCACACAACTTCCCATCCCCAAACATCACATATGGCTTACCATCTTTCACCAACTCAACCTGACCTCCTAAGCTCTTAAAGAAAGCAGTTGGCCTCACAATGCTGTAAGTAAACCCGCCATCTTCCATGGCTGCTTCCATAAGCTCAGCCTCGAATTTAAGCTTAGCCCGCTGGAATTCAAGCAGTGGCTTCTGAACACAAATGGCAGAAAGCAATACAAAATGGGAAGCCCCACGCTTTCTCCCAGCAACTAGACTGTTTTTTGTGGCCTCATAGTCAATTTTCCAAGAGTCCTTAATGCCGCCAGTTCGGCTGGCAAGGCATGAAACCACAACATCAATAGGGACACCAAAATCCTCCAAAGATTTCTCCAAAACATCCAAATGGGTCACATCCGAAAAGCAAATATTAGCTCCTTTCAACTGATTAGATGCATGTTCCTTGCTGTTCCTACCTCTAATTCCGCTCTTCTCCCTAGCAATGGCAATGACATTGAACCCTCTACTAACCAGCTCCTTAACGACAAATTTCCCAATATACCCAGTAGAACCCACCACCAAAATGTTGATATCTTTAGGGGTTTTGGTCCTAAACCTTGATTGGGTGGACTCAACAACTGGGGTCGAAGAAGCCGCAATCCCGCTTCGTCTTTCCCGGTCGAATTTGGGGGTTTCTGATAAATGTAAAGAAGAAGATCGGAAAGAGAAGGAGAATGAACTCACCGGAATTTGGTAGAAGAAGTGAGAGGAGAAACGGGTTGAGTTGCTTCTGTTCGCTGGCGAGAGAAGGTTGAATGCGCCGCCGGCGGAGGAGCAAAGGGACATTGTTTTGGAAGGTTGAATCGGCGGTGGAATGACTGTGTGAGCTTAAGGTTTTGATAAAACTCGGCGAACTTGTTGAGAAACGAAGAGGAAAAGAAAGGAAGAAGGAGAAAATGTGAGGCAGGAAATGAAGCGACTAGGAGTGGCAGATCATCATCATGGTGCGTAAGAGTTGTTTCGTCGTGTAAGATGTCAGGATAAGTGGATGGATGGAATTAGTTTTGATTTAAATTTGTATGGGTGATCTGCACAAATGTGAGGATGGAGTATGTAACTTTTACATCAGAATAAGAGGTCTTAATTTCACTGGAAAAAAAATTGTATTAACCATTGAATTACAGTTATGTTCGTACAAAAATTAAGAATAAGATCTCTAACATTGAACTATATTCATGTTGGTCAAAAAAAATTAATTGAGCACGAGAAATATTAGATAAATAGTTAAAAAAACATAAATTATCCGACAAAATAATAACCTGTACAATTCGCTTTTATAAATCATACCACTTTATTTTGAATTAAAAGATCGGATTTGGATAACTTTATCTTAGTATTTTCTTATTTATTGAAAAAAAATAACTATTTCATCTCTTGTCCTCCCAAGTTTCAAATTAAAATTAAAAAGTAAAAGTTTAGTTTTATATGAAAATTAATATTTTTTAAATTAAATATTCAAAAATTTTAAAATATATCTATTTTCGAATTTATTATGTATTTTATAAGTAAAATAATGATAGAATAATATTTTTTATCCAACAAGAAACACAAAAACTTAATTTAACAAGAAAATTTATTATGTATTTTATAAGTAAAATAATGATAGAATAATATTTTTTATCCAACAAGAAACACAAAAACTTAATTTAACAAGAAACTTTACTGTGCTGTTTACAGATTTCTACGTAAGTTTGAGAATGTTCCATAAAAATGAGAAATAAAAAACAAAAATAGTGCTCGAATGCTTCTGTTTCTAAAAATTAAAAATGTTCAAGAAACAAGAAACCGATACATTATCAAACGGGCCTAATGATCACGATGAAGCTTACAAAGGCGTACCCTTTTGATTCACTGCTACTTTTCCTGGAGCTCTTTAGAGATTGATTATGCATTCAAAGGCAGCTGCAATAGCAAATTCACTAAACCAATATATTTAAAAATAATACCTACAGAAATCTTGTTCATACGACATAACACATAATTAAAATTCCTCAAGGGATATTGGTAAGCTGGCATAGAAAAGGATGCTTAAGAATGAAAAGTTAAGGAACAAGTTTGTTTGGAACAAAATGTTATTTCTACGGTGCACAACAAATAGGTTCTAGACACAAAAAGAAGAGAGAAATTAGGGTAAGATTTGTGAGAAATTATGAAAATTGTAAAATCCAATCTCTTGAACCCCATGCTTACATACCAAAATAAACAAATTAATGTGCATATCTTGGTGAATTACAACCTTATATTATATATATTTGATATCAACTCTGAATATCCAACAAATATATTACATTTTTATATCTACATTAATTTACAAGCAATTATATGAAATGCATGAACTATCAGCACACAGATCATTGCAGTTGCAGAATGCTTATAGAGATGCTAAGGGTGCTTATTGTGTGCCTTGTTGAGACCAGTGACTGCAAAAGGGATCACCTGCAGCAATCTGAACCCGGAGTACCTCGTGAACAGCACCTCGGCTAAGCACCCCGAGAATATCCTCCCCTTCTGCGGCTATAAGTTCGGCCAGAGAGACTCGACGAGTCTGATGTTCGTCTCTCATGCGGAAGCCATAAAACCATCTTCCCAGCTTCCACCATTTCACATATACATGCTTCTCTGAAATCTTGTGACTTAGAAGTGCTTCCATGACTTGATTTGCCTGCCAGAAGCTGAATATCAACTCAACTCAACAATTTCAGATGCATGATATACAAAATAAACTGTGATCCTAAGCCTAATAATCCTATACGGTTTGCAGAGCCTTTCATCTATACCTGTTTTTGTTTTATTACTAAAAAATTTTCTAACTGCTATATTTCATCTGCGTTCTTCGGCTTCAAACTTGTAAGCTAGACTCTTGGATACTGTATTTGATAGTAAAACAAATCATAGGTATTTAATACCATAGGTTTCGGCTTCGAATTTGTAAGCTGGAGTCTTGCATACTGTATTTGTAAATTAAATCATAAGTATTTAATACCAGGCCAAAAGGTCCATCCATCTCTTATTCAAAAGCTCCTACCAATAAACAAACATCCCAACCCCTCTCACCTACAAGAGATAAAATAACTAGGTTAAATCCTATTTTGATCTCGGAATTCTTATACTTGTTATACTTTCATCTTTAAACTTCTCAAACATTCTATTTTAATCCCTAAAATTTGCAAAGAAATCACTTTAGTTCAAACATATTTGGACTTTTTAGTTAAATGATTGATGAAAGGGACCATAAAAAAGCATTTGAAAGTCTAATGGAATAGAATGAAATACGGATGAAAGTTTAGGACTAAATTATGATTTATATCTAAATGATTAGATTAGAACCCAAAAAATCTACAAATGGTTGAACTAAAATGGCAAAAGCAGCAGCACGTACAGGGACTTGAAGCCAATTTTTACAGTAGTGTAAGCCAACCAAGTTCAGCAGCTCATTAAGCTGGGGTTTGAAAAGCACCATTTGAACATCTACAAAACTGAGCTTCAAATCCCACAAGCCTGCAATTGCTCTATGATAGTCTCCAGCCTCGATCGGGGTCGAAGGAGAACATTGTTCTATAAACTTGACAGCTGCTTTAGCTTTTCCTGATATCTCAATATGCTTCCGGATGTAAAAGTTTCTCCATCCCTGTAAGGCATTTCAATTTTCTTATGTTCACTAACAGAATATGACGACTTTAACAACAAAGAATCAAATCCAAGATTCACGAATGAGACAGAACTCTAGATATATTAGATATCCAATGTATGTTTCAGACAGAAAGAACAAAGCAAGCTTTCAAATCTCTTAATTGCTTCAAAAAGCTAAAAATACTGAACACGTAAATTCACGAATGAAACAGAAAAACCTTAAAATCAACCATTTCAGATAAGGGCGGGGAAATTTTGAAAGGGCTTGTGCGAATCAACTACATTTGAATGATGAGACAGAAAGAACAATACAAGTTTTCAAATCTCTCAATTAATTTAGGAATAAAAAAAGAACTAAAAATACTAAACAAGTTAATTGTTCCTAAACAAGTTAATTGTTCACCCAAGAGAGGAAATAATAAACTCAATTGAAAAGGATCGCAAATAAAAGGAGATTAAGACAATGGAAAGAGCACCGTGGAGATGGGAGGCTTCGCGAGAGTTGATGAAGACGAACCAGAAGACGAAGAAGCATTGATATACGGCCATCTCTCTCTCGCCAGAGATTCCCACAGACAATCGAGATCGCAGATTTCCCTACACAACCGCGAGCAACAGGCCAAAGCACAAATGTCCGATGCCTTCGCACCATTATTCCCGGTCGCAGCCCCAAAATCGACAGAGAAAAATCAATTAATCCCGAGACAATATTCCAGTAAAACAAAAAGATCATGATTATACAAAACTCCATTGGAACCTGGAGGGAAGAAGCAATTTTCAGGGCAACGTCAATGGGAAGATGGAGAAACCCCATTTCCGATTGCTCTCGGTTCTCTTCCTTCACCGCACAAAATTCTCAGTCGAGATTTAATCTATGAATCCGTCGAACGATCAATTTCATCGGAAGTAGAAAATCGACAAGGCAAACTACAGATTGAACTCGAGGATTCGACGAGGCAAACTCCTGCGCGGTGTACGCTGAACTCGACGAGGACTCGAGGCGCAGGCTTTGATCCTTTGATGATAGCTACGCACGTGGCGACTTCTCGCACGTACTAAATAGTAAATTTTCCAGAGTTTTTGCAATAACAACACGTGGCCTGAATAATAGTTTTTATTTTCTTTTAGAAAAATACATTTTTGGTCTGTAATTTTAGAGTAGGTGTTAATTACTTTCCTTCCTAAGGTTTTAAAAATAGTTATAAATTGTCTTGAAAAATTTTAACAGTTAGTTGACTAAGTAGTAGTTAAATGGTTGATTGTATTTTCAAAATATATTAATTAAATTATTCTTTTGTGATTTTTTTATACAGTATGTGGGGTGGGGTTCGAACTCACGACCTCTCTCTTTTTATTTGTTTTCACGTTATATGATCTTATTTTCATCACCTTTTACTTAATGTGGAACTCAGCATCAGTCGTCGATAGTCAACCGTGGTCTTCATCCATGTCAGATGTCACTGACATTGCTACTTACTTCGATAATCTTCATCAACCACAAGGAACACCCTCTCTCCTTTGTCGCTCTAATCGACAAAGTTCATCGTTGGAGATTGACAATAGTGGTCGACGATGAAGGAGACGGTTGCTGACGCCTGATAATAAACTTCACCATAGGGGAGGTAGAAAAATGTGAAAATAAATTTAATAGATAATTTGAAAGAAAACGAAAAAGAAAAAGAAAGTGGGGACATTGAAAAAAATTATTAAACCGATATATTTTCTAAATCAGTAAAATACAATCAACGTCACTTTAACATTAGCCAATTAATGGTTAAAGTTGCTCAAAAACTATTTATAACTATTTCTTAAATTTCAAAAACTAGGAGTGTCTACTTTAAATATTAGGAACCAAATAACAAAAAAATATTTTTTTTCCTCCTTTTTTTTTAATTATTTATGAGGCTTGAATAATAGTAATTACATAATATGATGTTTTAAGATAGCACAAATATGAGAACTATACTTTAATAAAATACTTTACATGTTATACGACATACGTTAGTAATATATTTTATCAATAATATGATATATAGTGGTTTTAAACATAAAATAGAATAATACGATATATACTTTTTTTTATTGTATCAATTATATATTTTATCACATAAATGATACAACAATATCTTTATTAATTATAAAAAAACGATATATTAATGATGCACATAAAAAAGATTGTCCTATTTGCATATTATTTTTTATAACAAATTTGTAAATATGACAACTAATTTGTTACTCCATAATAATTCTCTCGTATTTTATTATTTATGGCGAGTATTTTTTAATAACATATTACTTATGGTGATTAATGGTTGAAATTGTACCGAAAGAATTTCGAATCCGAAAGATTCAATCTTATATAATCATTTTACCGAAAACAAAAATCTTATATAATCTGTAATTACCTGGGTTGGTTCATTAGTAGAAACAAGCCAAGATAAATTATAAAGAATTTAGAGAGAATAGCTAAAACAAGTATAGCTTGACGATAATTGACGCATATATCTCCAACCTAGAAGTTGTGAGTTCGATTCCCACCCCCGACATGTTGTAAAAAAAATGAATTTAGAGATAATTTGTTCAAATCTAAATGATCACCTACATAGACTTAATATCCTGAAGTGACTGAGTAAATAATTGAACACAAAATTAATTTGTTAAACATAGCTAAAAATATCCACAACCATACAATATACAAGGCAATCATATGAGATCTTACTTCAAATTTAATCATACAAGCACGCCCTAAAAACAAGATTAGGAAAACAAATTAAATTAAGATTTTTTGTCCGCAACAATTATATCTATAAATTAACAACACCGGAACGGAACAAATTTTGGACGACACATTTACGAGTAAATCCAGAGGCTGTGTCAAACACGCGCGGACCTAATCGAGAGCTTCAAAAGAGGAAGTGAAGTCTACTTGCGGATGCGCGCGTGGAGAGAGAAAACGGAGAGCCAAATCAGCAGCGCGAGCACGACCGAGGCGAACAGCGACGCCGCCAGAGCGCCGCCTATGTGGCGGCAGAACTTGTCGAAGGCGTAACACACTTTGTTCCATTGCACGTGCGAGTTCCCTTTCAATCCTATGTATGCGACTCCACCCGCAGTCCCTGTGGCCGACGCCACCACCCCCAATATCAACTGCAAAAATTCCATATAATTAACTAAATACTAATTACATTTATTAAAAAAAAACTAAATACTAATTATCCTACAAAAAGCCGATTTTTTTTATACTAAAAAAACTAATTTTTTTATTTTATTTTATCAATAATTCAACCTCTAAATTTTAGCTCCTCAAAAATATTTTATGTTTTTAATTATGTTTTAATTAGTTGAACTGTAATTATACTCTCAAACTTACTATTTAATAAATTTAATATATTTTTTATTTTAATATTAAAATGTAGATCGGAAACTGATATTTTTTAAGAAGGTTATTAATTGGCTGTCGAGTTTAATAGCAGTGAAAGAATAATGATGCATAATATGGTAAAAGTACAAACAAAGTTTTATTTTTAGTTTTCCATCCTAACTAATGTTTTTAAAATTATGGTCAGAAATTTAAAATTAAAAAAAAATTAGGATATGAAATTTGAATAAGATTTCAAAAGTTTTTAAAAGCTCAAACAACTCAGACATAGGTTGGATGTGCTACATCTTCTTTGAATTGCAATACCCTAAAAAAATGAAATTATTTTTAAAAGATAAAAGATTGTTAAATAACATCTAAAATATTTAAATTTAACCGCCGTCAACTAACGGTGAATAGTGTAGAAGAGAGAGAGAGGGTACCGCATCCAAGAAAGCAAAATGAAGCAAGAACTTGGCAGAGAGATTGGGGTTTGAGATGACGGAAACGGAAGCGAGAGCAGTAATGAGACTGTAAAGAGCCGTCACCGATAATGCGGTCACGAAGTATCTGCATATTTTAATTCCATATTAAACAATTTAATTAGACAAATATTTAAACATTTTATTTGACCGTTGAGGTATTTTTACTCCCTCTCCAAATTGTAAGTTCAAATGACTACTTTGTATTTTTAATGTAATATTCTAAAAAAAGAAATAGCAAAAGTTGACCAATGAAATTTAATTGAGTAAAATAAAATAAATATGAAAGTGTACAAATTAAAATATGATTTAAACTTTAGACAACAAAAAATATACGATACGACAAAAATAAATAAAAAAAATAAGATCAGGCTGACTACTTCTAAGATATGCCAACCAAAAAATCTTTTATTCTTAACTTTAATTTTTGGAATTTATGATTATAATATATGGTCTATGAAGTTGAATTTGGATTACATAAAGGTCAAATTATTTTGGTCGTACAACTTCTCGGGGGTCTTTAATTGTTATATTAGATGTGCAAATGACAAACAATATTATTGAATTTAGCTGTCATGGAAACAATTATTATTCTTAAAATATCAGAATTTACTACTAATGGTCGTGTTTTATTTTGATTTTTGTCTATTATGCTTAGTTATTAACTTATTATTATTTGAAAAATCAAATTTTGCATTGAATTTGGCTACATATATCAACCCTAACAATAAATTTTTAATAATCTCATCAAATTACACCTTAAATTTATATACGTGTTAGCCATGTTTACTTTAAACTCAAAAAAATTTGTTGGATATTCTTATAAATTTTTGTTTGAATAATAGAATTTTAAAAGATATTGTCATGTGCGTTAAGTGATATTAGAGATCTTTTTAATTTTTTCATTTTTGTTGAAACTTGCAAATTTCACCCAAATTATTCAACAATCGAGTTTGTGTAAAGTTTTATTATATTGAAATTAGTGATGGAGATTTTTACTCTGCTTTATGTTAAAACTTAATGGGTGAATTAAGAAAATTGAATGAAGGGTAAAAATTATAATGTCTGAAATTGAATATTTAGAATGACTTGATGCAAATTACCAAGTTTGGAGTAAAAAATAAAATTGATTTTTTCCTCCCCAAATTTACTATTACATATTAATATGTATTTGAAATTTGAAAGCTGTAGAAACTAATTTGCAAAAGTTGGTCAAAATTTTAAAAGTAATTCAAGAAAGTTATTAAAAAAAATCAATGCCTCATTTTCCATTAACTATGTACAAAAATTTTAAAAATTAAAAATTATTTTCCTACCTAGCTAATAGAACATGAGGCCCTGGCTCCGTCAAAAAAAGGAAGAAAGGGAAAAAAGAAAGCGGAACCTTGGGTATTTTGAACTATTAACATGGTTTTAAATATATCAATTTCACCCATCTGGGTTTATTTTAATCCATTATTTTCAAAATATTTATTTTAAGTTAAAAAAACACATTTGGTAATTTATATTTTTAACAATTTAGTTAGTGAAGTTTAGTTTGTAACGATTTAATCTCTCTACTCTCATTAAAGTAACAATTTAGTCCTTGAAATTTAAAATAAATTTGTAACAACTTAGTTCTTATCGTAACAAAATTTATTAAAATTAAGTATTAAATTTTATCATATAACAATTTAATCTTTATAATTTATAAACATACATGGTTCCTCTATAGTTTATCAATCTATATATATAAGAAATTTAACAAAAAAGTTTCACGATAAAATCATAACCAACCTTAAATTCAAGAACTAAATTATTACCAATTTGAAAGTACATGGATTAAATTATTACAAGCTAAAGTTAAAAGACTAAACTGTTACTTTAGCAAAATAAGTTTTTTAACCTTTATTTTAATTTCTATACTCTCAAGATTTATTTGTTTTAATAGTTCTTATATTAAAAAAAATGATCTGTATGCGGCACTTTTTCACGATAAAACTTTTATAGCGGTATTAAAAATTTTCACGATGAGGAATTTAAATAGTCATTATTTTACAATTAAAAAAAAAGCAAACGTTATAAAAATAAAAAAATGAACTAAAATGATTTATTAGAGAAAAGAAAAAAAAGGTACTGACATGAAAGCAGGGGAGTCATCAAACTTGGCCTGGACGGGGAATCCGGGGGGCACGCCTCGGAGTTTATTGACCACCGTCTGCTTGCTCGTGACGGTGACCACCACGGTCGCCACCGCCGCCGCGAACAGCACCATCCTCAGCCCGGCGTCGATCGCAAACAGGTTCACTCGAGGACGGCGAGCGGCGGCGGCGGCGGCGGACTCCGGCAAGGGTTTCTCAACGGGCGACGCCATGGAAATTAATTGAGGAAGAAGAGAGAGAAGGAGGGGGGAGATAACTGGAATTTGCTTTTGCTGTGTGTATATATATATAAAAGAAATAATTTGAGGAATGAAAATAATTAATCGGTTGGAGTTTCCTGCACGCCAACTGAGATATGGATTTGGATATGGATGGGTTGTTCTTCCGATCTGTATGAAATGAAAAGAAAACGGGGAAATTTCTTAGTCTTTTTTCTGATTTCTTAAAGAGATTGGTGAGATTTTTTTTAAAAAAGTCAAGTTCCCACAGAGAGCAGACCGAGAATTGGAAGGATAATATTTCAGGAAAAAAGAAAAAGAAAGAAATAAGAAAAGAAAAGAAAATTCGTTCATATACTTCATCCAAGAACATTGAAATTAGTGATTAAAATAAATGGAAGTACTATTTTGGTCCGTTTTATTTATTTTTTTGTTTTGTTTATTTTATTCTTTTTGTAATTTCAAAACAAATCTATTTTATTTGCACTTTTAATTATTTTGATTTCTTTTAAAAAGATCATCGTTTTATTATTTTTTTATTTTTTAGATCATGATTTACAACCTACTTAATAAATTTCTTGAAATGTAGTTTTAATTTTGTATTAAAGAGTTTTAGTTGGGTATAAAATTGGCCTTAAAATTTTGTAAATAATGTTGAATAGTCCATTTTCAAAAATACATATAAATCAAAATAGATGTTTTAAAAATATATGAAATAAAATGATCATGATCAAAATGAAAGAAAAACTAAGGTACCAGAATCAAAATAATATTTAAACCTAAAAAGGAAATTAAGGACACGTGGTTACGTTTTCGGATATTATTTTCTCGTCCTTTTGTTTTGTAATTCTTTTTCCTAAAATGTTCAAAAAAATATCTTTTTCCTAAAAATAGTCTAGAGATGTATTTAATAACTCTTTCTTATTACTTATCTTTTTTACTTCAATTTAAAAGTTTCTTTGAAAGTCTTTTTATATTTCTTACCTACCAAAGTTTCTTTTTCTTTTTTTTTTTCTTTTGGATTTTGGACATTTTATTTTTGGCTAAATATATTAAAATAGTCTCGCAATTTGCTTCTTTAACATTTTAAAATTATTAATGTTATCCCGATATAATAAAAATTCTCTTCGTAAACTAATATGTCAAAATTTGTTAATATAAAATTGACGTGTCATTACATTATTATTTTATTAACATATTTTGTCGATGGATTTGTAAGATTTTGCTACGAACAGGTTGAATACCATATGTCTAGCCTCTAAATGACATGTTTCTATAATTTGTCCAAATATATTTATAATTTATTGATACACAAGTTTTTGTTAATAAAATTAATTTTTTTATGGTCAATGACTATTTGAAAACTAGAAATACATCAACAAGAAATTTGAAAACATTTCAAGATCAAAGATCAAATTGATAATTATCTAAAAGATTAGATACGCCTAAACCAGTCATAAGAATATATAAATTTTTACCCTAATAAGTGAGTCTAGTTATTAAATATTAAGTACATATTTATCTAAACTAGGAAAAATATCATCCAGCAAATTATTACGGCTCTAAACTATGGCTTTGAAAGCAATATCACAAGATAAAATTAAACGTCCATTTTGTTTCAAATATTTTGAAAAGAAGTCTAAGATTTATGTTAAACAAAATTTTGTTGATCTGAGTTTACGTAGTTTCAAAATGTTGTTCAATTTTTTTAGTTTACTTTCAGCTTGTATTAATTGTCATTACTTTCAAAACTTATGTTTTAGTTCATTTATTTTTAAAAAGTGACTATTTTGACATCTGTTACAAAATTTTATCACAAAAAATTTATATACAATGGAAATCATTTAAATACAAATTTATATAATTTAGTGAATGAAGTGTCATGGGCTGAAATTTTGATAGAAATAAATGAAAATGAAGGAAAAATAGTCATTTTTTCTTTTTAAATGCATGAAGTAAAACGAACATTTCGAATGTACAATTATTAAAATAAACAAAGTTGAAAGTATAGCGATGAGAATGCACGTTACATGCATCAAAACAAAACTAAAATTTAACCCCAAGTCAAGCTTGCATTTAAAAGAAATGATATGCAAAAAGAGGAAAAAGTTGAACCAAAGATACTCAAGTAATTGGGATTGAGGGCCAAAAAAGATGAAGCAAGAAATTTGAGCTAGAAATTCCCTTGGAGAGATTTTGGCAAAATGCGTGGCTTACTTGTTTTTGTTCAAACGCACATCTACGACTCATGATGGATAATTAAGGGTGCGTTTGGTTGGTAATTTGAAAATAAGACATTGAATGAAAATTAGAGTTGTATTTTTTGTTTTTAATGTCTTTAGATTTGTGTTTGATAACAGATTTGGTAATTGAATATCAATTTTAAAATTTAGTTAATGCGTGTTTAGTAGTGTATTTGTAAACTAGAAGCAGTTACAAACTAAGTATTTAGTTTAATCTAAAGTTATATTAATTAATTTATTAACATTTTTTTATAAATTTTGTATAATTATTTTTACAACGTTATATAATTTAGAATACGTTATATTTTACTTGTTTTAATTTTAACAAACATAAAATGAGTTTATAATATAAAGTAATATATTTATCAAATATTTTATCCTTTTTTAATGTAACTCTGTATCTCCAAAATTTCAACTTCTAAATCTGAAAACACTGAAAACATGAAAAAATCGTTTTCAGAATTTCTACTAATCAGAAAACGGTTTTCAAAAACGAATTTTCCAAATACTGCCAAACGCGTATTCACTGAATCCGTTTGATTTAGTGAGTCTGAAAACAAAAAATAGAATCCGAGTTTCCAACCAAATAGACCCTAAAATATTCGTAACATTTGTAAATATAGTAATAACTTTTTAGTTTTGAAAATATGATAAAATATTTGAAATATGGTTTTTGATTTTGTAATTTTTCCAAATTTATTTTTCTAGGTTTTCGTACATATAATGGTATATCAAATAAGTAAATAAGTAAATAAATAAATAAATATATATAAAGTATACTATTGGATATCAGCATTCAAGTATACCAATACTCGTGATGGCGCATATGAGTGTTATTGATTCCTTATGTATAAACAAATTCGGTATATCAATCATATATTAGCATTCATATGATATAAGTCATAGAAAATAGACATTTAAGTCATAAAAGATAGACACGTCATCTAAAATGTGTAAATAACGCAACACAATTCAATAATAGAGAATGAATACAGTAAAGAGAAGTAATATATCGTGTATATTATTGATATATAAGCATTCATATCAAGTACATTGTTGATATATCAACACTTATAAACTAGGTATATAAATAGTATATCAAATTATGTTTATCAATTTTATATCAAATCAGGTATACATATCAAAATGTATCATTGTCTGAGCTTTTTATTAATTAAGGATATATTTGACTTTTACTTTTCTTCTGTATGACTTAGCCTCCAGATTTGCTATTTTTGTAAAATTTATAATGGTTGCTACTTTTACAAATTCTCATTATTATTGTAATTATTATGTATTATATATATTTTTTATTATTCTTGCAAGTGCCCAAAACAATAAGGTAAAAAGTCATAATGATCCAATGTGGGTCACTAACCCCAATTTAGTAAAAAAGAAGAAGATACACTTAGGTGAATTAAGCTTACAAATCAGAATTTTTAACTACAAAACTAATTTCTTAATAAGGTGTATAAAAAAATATACATATATAGAGACAGATATCTTTTTAATTTATGAATTAAGTTTATTTATTAGTGTTTTTCATTTAAAAAAAGTGACAATTTTATCTAAACCTATTATATTATTAGTTTCCTAACATACGACAAGTTGTATGGAAATATATATTAATCATATACAATACACATCCTTTATTAAAAAAATTTGATGAACTCTAGCACGTCACCAACTTTCAATTTCAATCGAAATAATACATAAAATAATACCTCTGTTTTATAAATACTCATGCGTCAGGTATTCCATCTACATACCACTTGTCATATTAAAATTAGAAATTCTTCACGAATGAAATAAAGGTTTAATGAGTAGTCAAATATATAGACGATAAAAATAATTTCATTTGATAATAATTTTATTTCTAGTTTTAAAAATTAAGTCTAGAATTATCTTCTTTAGAAACATATTTGGATTTTTGAGTAAATTTTAAAAATAAAAATACATTTTTAAAACTATTTGGAAAAAAAAAGACTTCTAAAAGTTAATAATTAAAATGTACACAATTTAAAATAAAAAGATAAATACCTACATTCATAATATTAAATAATAACTTGATAAGCACCTTTTTGTCTTTTGGTGGGTGGTTTGGTTTCTTGTTGAACAAACCGAAAAATAATAAAATAATAAAATAAAACAAGAGGGGAAGGAAAGGGAAAATTTGTTTATTGCTTTATTATATAAAGACTAAACGATTGCTTTGCAAGTAATGCTTGGTCAATTGTGATGAAACTCTTTGAAAATTGGAAGTGATATTTAATTTAGGTAAAATACATTTTGGTTATTGAATTTGAAAAAAAGGTTCTTTTCGATGAATTTTAAAACCGATAGTTTAGTCTAATTTTTAATAAGTAGTTTTAAAATATTTGTGGAATCAAATTTTTAAGATGGACTTGACTTGAATAAGTTAGATATTTATTAATTTTAAATTACTTTTTAACTTAAAATTTTAAATGCTACCTTAGTTTTTTAGTACAATATGTGAGGGTGGGGATCGAATATCACAACTGGTTGGAGGTATATGCCAATTACGGTTGAGCTATGCTCATTTTGACAAATGCTACATTAGTTAAAATAAAAAAAAATTAACAAATAATTCACAACACAAACCTTCCGTTAGTGTCTTTGGAGTTTCCAGAGACTTTTTAAAACTGTTTTCTAAATGACAGGGATTAGATTGTTAATTTTTTAAATTTAAGTACCAAATAAAAATCTATCTTCAAATTGAGGAAAAAAAAAATCTATTTTACCTTTAATTTATTTCCTAAATTAGATTATATATATATATATGTGTGTGCGCGCGTGTTATAGTAGTCAAAATCCAACCACCCACGCAACTGCCATTGAATTTTATCTGTTTTCTCATTCATTTCGAGATTTAGAATTTAAATTTTTAAAAAATTACAAATTTTTAGTCAATAA